AAAACTGCATGGACCTATTTTTCCACAAAGGATAAGGCCAGGTCATGGCAGTCATGGGCTCTGCAGTTTTTGTACTTTGATATTTCGTTTTTGTAAGGAATACCAAAATATCAAAACTGCATGGACCTATTTTTTCCACAGTGGCTGAGGCCAGGTGATGGGGTCAACTTCAACAGTCCTTGTATTGTTGTATATTGTGGTTGCACAACGAAAACCAAAATTTCAAAACTGCTTTGAATGTATGTATACACGGTATTTAAAACAACTACAAAACACTATATACAATGGTTAGCCCATAGAATATCAGCACAAACCCTGTAAAACACATTGTTTTCATCCAAAAGGTAAGCACGGGGGGGTACCATAACTATATAGGCGTTACTTGTTACACAGTGTACCCAGCAACATAGGTGACCTAGCTTAGTTAAAAAATTCCAGGCCGGCAGTGATCCCTGTTTGGGTTCTGAATGGAGTGCATAGTGCTCAATTGTTGTACCCTACTGACTCATGCTCCTTGCAACTAGCACCAGTGGCAGGAGCTGCATTTGGTATGTGCCAAGGCCAACAAACTTGTTCTTCAGTGGTGGCCTGTGACTTCGAGGATGACAAAGTATTTCCTGCGCTGCCAACCGTCATGCAAAAACATGTAACAATAATATGTAGATTAATGCTAAACAAAGGAACAACAGGGACAATCAAACTTTCAAAGCACACCAAGCCAAGTGTCTGGGTGCTTTGCGACTCCACATAGGGGATGTAAGCACGCGGCTGGACATCCTGGATACGCACTCCTGTGCGGTATGTCAAATTGTACTCTGGATACCTGCGCGGCGCAACTCTCTGCTTGGGAGAGAAGTGACAAAGGAACTCGCCTAGAATGTGCATGGTGCAACCACACATTCAAGGCCTGTCACCTGAAAACATGTATATCTATATATATTTAGTATATGTGAGCTTCGCCGGGCTTTGCAGGTCTCAAGCAAGTTTCGGCAGAACTTGGAATTCCAAGACACATATGGGTGTAGTTCAGCTTTGGCCACCAAGTCGCAGAAGCAGCAACCGGCCTCGACAAAACCGCCAAGCTTGGGGGAACATCGAAGTGAACTGCTTCGGAAACCGTTGAAGATTTCTACATGTCCACTGTTTTCTCGTCGAAGCTCAGCGTCTTGCAATTCAGAGCAAATTCTTCGTGAGTGAAAACATGTACAGTTCTTGCTGGACTCCTTTTTGTCAGTCCAATTTTCTTCAATTAGACTGCGTTGAAACATGGACAAACGCAGCAAAGGCATGTAAGAGCACCGCACATTCACCGCAGAAGTAATGGCTAAATCACAAGCGCAACACAGCACAAGGCCGCAGCCTTCTCATCCACATATAGTTAGAGGACAAGACTGGTGGGCAGTACACAGCCACTGCCACTGTTTCATCTGGTGCACTACCTTGGGCGTGTTGGGTTGCAGCTGCTTCTGAGCAGGAAGTTGGCTTTTCCAAACATGAAACTCCAACAAGAAGACTTTACGTCCTAAATGTGCACAGTCCATGTATGCATATTTATAGCTATTATACACTAGGGTGGTTTCGGGGGACAATGTGGGCATATACAGTATATTCCATAGATTTGTTCAGCGCCTATGAAGGCGACAGGGATTACTTATTGCCCTGGTCCATTGCACCAACCCTCTTTCCATCATTGAGTGGAACAAATGAGGATGCTGCAACCACCGCTGCAACCATCAGCGACGTATACTGAAAGCGTGGCAGTTCATCCTTTGGACACAGTGTCCCTTGGATGACCAAGTCGCAATGGATGAGCATACTGCTGAGCACCGTGGCTTCCGAGAGTTGGGCTCGTTCCACCTCCCAGTCTTCAGGGTCCTCGCTGATGAAAGCACACTGACAGCCTGGCACACTGTGTCGCTCAAAAGGTTGGGATGGACTCGAAATCGTTGTGAGCCAGTCGTGAGTCAGTCAGTTGGGGGTCACGACTCATGGTGAGACAGTCAGGCTTAGTCATGCTGAGTCGGTGAGATCGCTATTTTGTTGGACAGCCCATCTGGACCCGTTGGTGCAATTCTCTCTCAAACTTCTCAAGCACACTGAAGCCTTGAGAAACATGTGGCTCCAGAAACAACACATGCCACCTGCTCTTTAAATACCTCCCAACTATGCCCAGCTTCTCTCTGGAGGTGTCCATGCGCCACGGCGGCCCCCCAAATGCAGCCTGCCACAAAGCCATCTCCTATGATGCCCAACGAAGACCATGAACCTTCCTGCCCTGCGAAGGCCCAAGGACGGCGTGCAACAAACCAAGGCAAGTGTGGCTACCAGCCCCTCAGCTTCTTTCAATTAGCCGATGGAGAGTAAATGGCACAAATCGAGGTTTGTCCCATCTACGCTGAAGCCGCTGTATGCTAAACAATTCATAACAGTCATAACAATTCAAGCGAACATGTGCAACAGCCTGACTGGCTCTGACTGAGCTGATATGACTGAACTTGAAGAACGCAAAGCTAAGGCCCATTGCTCTGAGAGTTCATTCATTGCCATACATATCTCAGTTCAACTGGCGCTTCTAGTTGACGTTCGGACCTCTGACAGTGTGAAACAAAGCGGGGCATGCATCTAGCTTTCCAAGCACCTGGGAACAACAAGCAATGCCTGAACAGGACCACCATATCGATCAAACATGTGTCCTTTCTAGCCTGGGAAAACTTCGGACACTCAGTATTGAAGGCTGGCAATGAAAGAACCCTGATCATGTAGTATAATAATGTATGTTAAAAAACATATATATATATATTGTCTAAACAAGTAGAATAGGCAAATCCGACCCCATTGCTTTCTGCCTTCCAGTGGTGACAAAGAAGTGATGATCGGCACCACCAACTCAGGATCCAGGGTCGGTGGCTGGTATTCTGAGACCTCCTCCTGGCATGCAGAATAGCATTCTGTTTCCCATAACATCTCTCACATGCTTAAGGCTGCTGCACCAAGTCGCTGCTCCAGGTGCTGGTCCTGAGTTCCTTCCGAAAAACCATCTACAGCCTGGCCGGGAGTTCTTTCCTCTTTTTTGTCTTTGGACCTTGAGCAAGACATGTGTCTTCATCCCTGTCTTCTGTTTCGGCTTGTGCAAAAGAATCTGCCTCGAGCCGCTTTTGGCGCCCACGGTGCCTCCTCTGGCTACTACTCTATCATAAACAAAACAATCCAAGATAATCCAAGGATGCTCTGGTCTCCTCATCCACCTCTTCGAAGAACTCGAAGGAGACGTGGCCCAGGCCCATATTGGTCATGACGCGGTCAGAGCTCAAAGCTAAATTGCCTCAAAGCTTCAGGTTGCCAAAAAAAACATGGAAAAAAGGTCCTGCGCAACCCGCTATGCGCTATTGATCTTCATTTGAGATTTCGTCATCTGTAGCCTTCCAACTTGCACATCAGCTTGCATTGAAGCTTGATTTGTCAGCAGTTGGACTGCTCAGAAGTGTCCTCCTCGTAGCTCGTAGTGACAAGTTCAGCCACTAGAGTCTTTAAACATCTTTAAACACGCCGAAGAATCGAGAAAACATGAGGTGAATCCATAATACATATTGTTATAAAAAATACTGTCAATATGGTAAGGCCAGAATCCTTGATTTAAAAAAAAGTCGAAAAAACAAGTCAACCATAGACCACAGCTCGAAAAAGTCAAAAAAAGTCGAAAAACAATAAAAACATAAACAAACAGTCAAATTAAAACAATTCAAAAAAGTCAAAAAAGTCAACCACTCGAAAAAGTCAACAAAAAAAATCGAAAAAAAAGTCAAACAAACATCGAAAACATGTCAAAAAGGTCGGATCTGGACAATTGACCTTTTTTTTGACTGTCTGAAGTTTTATGATTTGACTTTTTTTTGACTTTGACTGTTGGGATTGACTTTTTGGGCTTTTTTATTTAGAAAACAGGCTCTTTCCAATGAACGTTGTTTGTAAACATATTGAAAAAAGCCCGCTGAACACCCAATAGCGATGGCCTCCAACCTATTAGCGAACCCCTACTTATTGCATGAAAACGGTGGTGTGTACATGTTTATATATGTTTACAGGGCACCATGATGCATCCAGGGTGCTACACACTCATGGGGTCATCGAGCAGAAGGTCACAGGCAATGCAATGCTGTGGACACATGCACCAACATAGTGTAATTATGCTTGACATCCGGGGTGCGTCCAAATGACTAGCGCCAGTAAACATGTTAAGCGAGGACACATTCATATGAGAACACACATCCAATAACATCCAACAACTAACCCACCAAACAACATCAGCCGTTCCTCCTCCTGCCAGAGTTCAGGACTTTGGAGATGTTCTGCAAACTTCCATGCCAGTAAGTTCTATCAGAACGAAAATTCCCAGACTTGTTTGATGGAACATCTACAGGAAAACCTTTCATTTTGTGGGTGAACAGCGTGGTTCCCGGTAGATGTTTCCTTAAACGAATCCAATGAAATAAAATACAAACATCTCCCAAAACCGCGCCACCACCGCCCTTCTGAGAAGCGGCATATGGAGGGCAGCAACACTCGGGGCGACTCGCAAAGCAGCGTGCTGCTGTTCAGGTATCTGCGCTGCGGATTCAACGTGGTCTTCTTGCCACATGTCAACCCACCGGTGATTCAAAAGGGAAAACAACGCCCAGTGGATCCAGCTACAGTGGTTTCAGAGTAGATGGCACAAACCCCCGAAATGTCCTTTAGATGGGTGTTGATATAAACCACCTCTTGGGGATTGCACCATCTACTCTGAACCCACTGTATATAAACCATGTCTTGTTGAACAGTGCTTTGGTCAAAGCTTAGCATGGCGATGCCGTTGGCGAACACTCCGGGTTGGCGTTTCTTTGCATGGGGCTTTCCCCGTCCGAGAGCGTCGGAAGAGAGTAGTTGCTAGTAGTAAGGTGCCTTGTTACTACTAGCTTCCTTGTTAATAGTGGCTTCTTGCTCCTAATGCTCCTAGTAGTAAGGCCAGGAGCCCCGTTCGTAGCTTCTTGCTCCGTTCGTAGCGATGCCCTTTGCTCCTAGTAAATGGGCTCTATAATGAGTTTCTTCCAGGATCCAACGCACGTGGCTGCAAAGAAACCATTTTGCTCCTGCCGCTGCCAGGGTTCAAGAAACCAAGTTTCGCCGTGGCAACGCGGCAACACCATCGAAGGGTATCACCCTTCTTTTCCAGTTGGCAGCTATGCCTCTCAGATTTCAGAGAAGGTACGAGCACAGCTACTTGGTGACCTTGGAGATTTCACCTCGAGCCGAGTAAAGAAGCGTTCCACCGGCGGAGGGCACTTGGCCACGCGAGGCGCAATTGGCGATATCACACACTGCTCCTTGACCACCTCCTCTCAGCAAGCACTTCACGGCAGCGTGGACATACATTCCATCCACCACCTATGCTGTTGGCAAGGGCCATCAAAGCCATTAAAAAAGACTGGGCTTTAGGTATTGAATGCTATGGATAAACGTTTGCGGAGCGTTCTGAGATGCATGTCGACCAAGACATTCTCCAAAGATCTCCAAAGCTATCTTTTGCAGCCTAGACGCCTTTTGACTTACATCCCCACCGCCTTTCTTGGCCAAATCGAGCAAAAAGTGATTGTCATAATCCGACTCTTCTGCCATATCCTTCATGCTCAACTTGTTGAACCCCGGCACCTTCTTCTGCAACTCATTGCAGGATTTCTCAGAGACCTCAGGTCCGTCTTGGGGTGGTGTTCCAACTGCCTGAAAGACCAAAAAGCCTTAAGCCTTGTGGCCAGTGCAGTACCAATATGTATCGATACATGATACTTAAACAGTATAAATCCCGGTCTTGCAGCTGTTCTGCCATCATCAAGAGAAGGGAAGCGAAGCGAAGCGAAGGAGGAAGGATGGGGTGTGTGTGTGTGCGCGCAGCATCAGCGTTGTGCTGTGATGTGGTGAGGTGTTTTTTCTAAGCATTGCTCAGCCGTGGCTAATCACATTGAATGACCCCATAAGAAATGACAAACATCTTGCTTGCTTCTTTATTGAATTCAACGTTTAAAGTCCATTTGGTCAAAATGTTAGCTGACATGGATACATGGGAAAAAAAAACTGATGAAGAGTGAGGGGGCTCGCTCGTGGTTTCTTTGATCACAAAGTCATGATGGGTCATGTACTTTCAGTTCAACATGAGCTACAAGTCTGGGGACAAGGTCCAGGCTCAAAGGAAGGCCACCCTCCAAGAAAATCACTTGTAGGCCAGGCCACTTCTTCTAGATAGCTGAAGTTCTTGAAGAACTCTTCCCGTTGAGAATCTGAATTAGAGTACCAGCCATTCGCAAAGCAATAGAGATCATCCAAGGGATAGTTGTGATCACGGATTGTGAGTGTGCGCTGGTCCGGGAGCTTCAGGGTGTATGGTGGTGATGGCATGTTCATCACCATTAAGTAGTCGAGTTCCCAGGTCTTCACGAAAGTGTCAATATCGCGGGTTTGGCGGCTCACGGCGCAGTTGCTCGCCCAAACCCCTTTAGCTCCGAAGACGCACCAGCCATCCTCGCCACTGGATTCCACAACGTCTTTGAGTGGAAGTAGGTCCTGCTCTATAGACACCGGACCGCAAATGCCTTTGTCCTTCTCACTGGCACCTGTTCAAGGTCACTCATTGGTTTGTCCTTGCCCCTAATGGGTGTGCCCCAAGCACCAGCAACACACGGCATGGACTTAAATGATGTTACAGTTACTGTTTAAGGAGAGAAGTGGTGGCTGTCCACCCTCTCTCCCTGTGACTGTTCTCCCCAGCCACCGCACCTGCATTTGGTCCACCTGGCTTCCTCCTCTCAGCTGCTGTCTGCAAGAGCTGGCAGCCCTGCTTCTCCTCCTCTCCAAGCACCAAGGTAACCAAAACTATGAAGAGGCGCGCCATGACGGGTGTTCAATCCGCACCTCGTGTTCTGAGCCGAAGGCTGAAGAAAAACGCCATGGCTGCATACGTACTGCATACTGTTCCCCTCAGCTTCCAAACGAACAAGCCAAAGAAAAGAAGCGCATCTCATCGTAGCTCCCACTTGCCAAACCCGAACTAGGCTGGGCCTGGCTGGGAAGCCTCCACAACATCGCGTGAGACCGAGCCTGGCTGCTTCCGTACTTAAGGCTGGCAAATGTGGCGCGGCTGCCGGTAAGGGCGGCAGGAAGGCGCAGTAGTACTCCACCCGAGCATCAAAAGGACCTGAGGCGGACCGACAGGTAGGCCCTTTTCCCTAGATATCCTCAGAAGGTGGTTAGACCCCCCCAAATCCACCCCAACATACCCCAACCACCTTCTGAGGATGTGCTTGGAGCCCTGGGGTTTAAACACAACCAGCCGAAAAGGTGAGAAACTTCGATCACGTGTTTGTTGGGCCCAAAACCTTCGAAGCCCTCGGCCCGTTCACACACCGGGCCTCCAGTAATTTCTAAGACGGTGCCTCCCTTCACGGGTGCACGTGCCGGATGGGCGCGCAGCAAGTTCGGGACCGCCTCCGTGGCATCGAGGCGTCGAGGCGGATCGGAGAGAGGATCGTCTAGACCGGACCAAACGTGCAGCTGGTTCTCTCAATGGCTCCAGAAACGCCTCGAGCTGGCGAACATGGATGGGAGAGCCCCCACAAAAACACGAACGGCCAACACGAATGGCCCCCCCACTTGCATTGAGCCAAAAAAGATCCCTGGGCATGGTCCAAGCAGGTTCCACAGTCCAGGTCTGTCCCAGGCCATGTAGGTGTAGATGATCCCCGGCAGGTCATAGGTGGAAATCTCCCCATTGCGGATGGCTTGCATCTGAAGCGTCACCTCAGCTTCCTGTGTGCCAGTCTCCCCGCACGTTGGATCAACTAACAAGGTGGGGGAGATTAGGGGGGTTAGGAGATTTGGGGGGTCTAGACCCCCCGACAAAGGTGGTTTGGTATTTTTTTATGCGTCCGTTTGTTGTAGGCCCATTGTAGGCGCTGCGCTTGACTGCTCCGTGCGCAAGTGAAAGTGAAAGCTTGTTGGTCGACGCCGCGGCGTGATACATCGTTATACCGCAAGACAAATACCAAACGAACATGGAAACGAAATGGGAACGACAGCGAGATATATAATGCTTTGCTCAGTCCACCACCCCACCTTCGATAAAGGAATGATCACCAAATATCACCAATGCAAGCGATGTTATACCCTCTAGTCTGATGCTTCAGCGCGTCTGTGTCACAAATTAAAAAAGCCCGGAACATGCTCGAACACGCATTTGGAATCATTTGGAACAATATCGCCAAGCTGGTTCCAATCACTCAAATGATGAGATGGGTGTATGTATGTGTGCCCTTTGGATATATCCATTCGATCGTTTGCAACTACCAATTCTAATCCTGTGAATGAGAACTTCGGCAAACCGCCTTCAGAGCTCGCTTTGCCTGATCTAATTTGAAACTGCCAATGGCAGAAACGTACTAGTAGCCTCCTTCTTGATCTGCGTGCAACTGGTGCCGACAGTAATGCATGGGCGAGGGTGTGCAAAACCGCCAGGAAACCTGTTACCTGTTTTAGAATCTTGAGCACAAACCCGGTAACTCTTGTCTGTACACACTTTTTGGAGCATTGTCTTAACAGCTGTGCTCAGCTGGCTCGCGCGAGGCGGGTCCTTCGACACGCCGAAACTCCTTCCACGCCATGTTGCTGAAGAAGCTCCCGCAGAGGGTGTTGGCACAATGCACTCTGCCGTGTTGGAGCCCACTCGTACACAATCACTCGGCACGTTTCGTTCTGGAAAGACCTCGGCCGAGGCAGCGGTCGCCGACCGGTAGTACCGGTCCATGAGGTCGAGCAGCCTGCTGAACAACATACTGCCAATGTACAAACGAACACAGCTATAGAAGACGAAGCTGATGTGAGAACGAAGCTGATGGAGATGACCCGAGCTTTTTTGTCACATCCTACCTGGTCCGCCTGGTCCTGCCCATTCTCCACTGCCGAATTCAAAACTGGGTTCCATGTTGTTCCAGCTTGCGCCATTGAACCATGTACTACATCATGTACTAGACTATATATATATATATACATATAGACTCGACTATAGTGGGTGAGAGTAGATGGCACAATGCCCAAAGGTGGTTTATACGGACCCCTATATAAAAGACATCTTGGAGTGCCAGTGCCATCTCCTCTCAATCCACTGTAGTTGAACCTGGAAAAGCTGCGCATTGCAACCAATGAATGACACGCGCAGCAAACAGCGCCACACCGATGAATGAACTGGAACAATGGCAGGTTGTCACATCATGACATGCTGCAATCAGCCAAACAAACACACACACATATATATATATATTATATATGTATATAGCTACAGTCTAAGCTTGGCATATCTGACTGAGAGAAAAAGCCAAGACCCGAGAACATCTACATGGTGCAAACGAAGCACGAAGATCAAACTCAATTCCTGGGCTGGAGGGACAGGTGCAAAAGCTGCTGCACACTTGCTGTGTATGGCGTATGGCATTGAATTCCAACAAATGTAGTGTGCAATCAGGGTGCACATTCAAAGCAACAGCGTGCACATAGCATAAGCAACCAAAAATACTCTGCGACAACGAATGAAGAGCTTGAGCAGAAAAGAACCTCCCTCCCAAAGGCTTCCAAACCAAGCAGGGCAAACTCTTGCAAAAACGGTATCTCAAACAAGCATCCAAATCCGCATTCTCGGGCCATGTGATGCCAATCCTTGGATTTGTTGACATGGGACGCTTTGAAGCCGGAGGCCGCAAGAACTGACTGAAGTACCTGCCACATGCTACAAAAACCTTCTCACTCCGAGCAGGGCTCATAACCTCCTCGCACGCTTGAGATCTGAGATCTTTGTATAAATAGTTGGTTGTCAAGACCTGGAGCCCTGGTCCACCATGTAGCGAACGACCGTAACCAGGTAACCAGGTAGGTCAACCGGTCGGTCTCCTGGTGCGATCCACAGCCAGTTGGAGCCACATGGGCCTGCCGCCCTATGCCTGGCTTGTGGTGCATGAAGTCCCCAATCGTGGGGCAAGGTCAAGGGCCGGTGCCCCCGCTTCAAAATCCAAGCTGCAGGTGTATAGGCGCTCCTCCCTCAGCCCAGCCATATTCGCGTCTGATGGCATAGGGAAGCGAGAATGGAGCAGATGCCACAATGCCAGAGGTATAGTAGTCCCCATCAGGGCCTCGATTCAGAGCTATGAATGAAGGCACCCCATGTCCCTTCACTTGAGAAATTCGGGAGGCCGAACGTTCCTTCTGACTGGACCCAGCAACAAGACAAAAGCAAAAGCTGGACATATCACGTCTTGCCTCTTGCTATGAACACTCCAAGTATATATACAGTATACCGTTTCATGATCATTATTAAGAATGTTTCTACTGACTTTCTGGTTCAACATTGAGATCTACCAAAACATGGAGGTGGTCACCAAACCCTGCACCGACACATCCTTTAAGAGTAGGTCATCTCGCACATCCAAGGTGCCGTTGAAGGACACAGCCAAGCCTCAAAAACTGGGCTTTTGAACATCGAAAACGGTCGATCAAGGGTTGCCCGTGCCAGCGGGGAGCGGGGAGCTTGCATCAACAACTGGGGGGCTTCGCAGGGGCTTCGCATTTGTGCCTTCCTTGGGCATGACCACACGCGCGCCAATCTTGGTCTCACACACCGTGCCGGGCATAGTTGTCCTTGCCATGCACGTCCTAGTCATATATATATATATAATACATACTACACGATCATACATGTGCATATAGAAATATAATATATATATATATATATTTAGATCTACACACACACACACTAGTACATGACGTTCGACGTTCCCCGTGCTTTTTCCAGATCATCTGGAGACTCTCTCTCCAAGCTTTTCAAAGCTCCATCCAAGAGACGGAACTTCATGTCAAAATGTGTCTCAATGGGCACTCCCAAGATCGGTTCGGTGGCATTGGTGTCCTGCGCAGTGAGTTGCAGTGACATGCAATGAGTTGCGCCTCTTGACATGGACGTAAGAAGACCTTTCCCCATAGAAGCCTACACGCAGCATGTGTAATAGTAACCTGTTACCCAGTAGTAACTAAATCTGTGGTGTGGAAAGTATCGGTGATACGCTTGCCACAACAAATGCTATGTGCAAAGTCGATCCGCATGAATAACAGGAATGCTGTCGGTAGTAACATCATTTTAAAGAATTAACTAAACATTAAACTACTCTCTCAAGTATAGGCCCTGGATGCCAACTGCCGATCCGAGAATTGGGAAGGGCTTGACTTGGCAGTTCTGGAGGCTTGAACTGTGTCCGCGTAAAACAGGGCACATGCTCAGTAACAATTGCGCTGCATTAGTTGGTTGTGAAAGAACTTAATTATATATTATATACAGCGTAATTGCATTTGGCAAAGCAGTTTCCCAAGCTTGTGCATGCAGTTGTTGGAGGGTAAAAGGCCAATGCCCGCATGTTGGCACAAATGTTTCGCTTGCAGCCAATGAATCGCTCTCAAAACCGCACATGAGATGAACATGGATGTACAAACAATGAGATGAACATGGATGTACAAACAATCAAACAATAACAATCAATTACCACACATCGAGTAGAACGGAACATTCTCCCAGCATGCCGTAGTGAATGCCCACCAACAGTCACCAGCCGAGTTGCATGATATACAGGAAACTGGCCTTGGATGACTACGATGTTGTGGATGGATCACGGTGAACATGTTAGTGCACGAATGTGCACAACCACAAAGGACTCCCTTCTAGGAGCCAGAAAGCAGGTTTGTGGTGCTGTCAAAAGCATGTCAAAAGCCAACGCACAAGATCAAATGCACTTGAAACTTGCCAGCGTGCTGTCCACGATCACGGCCGACTGTATGCACAGTCACGCTACAGTCACACGTCCAAACCGATCCAAAATTCATCTAGTCAAACTCCAACCTCTCACTGCCTGAACTGGAACCTTCACCTGGCCGTTTGCTTCCTTCATCTCCAAAAGGCCAGGCTCAAGCCACATAGGCCCATGCGACTCTGTGGCCTCCCACCCAGTCCTCGGAGTGTTCTCCGGGGTTCTACTCACTGAGGCTCCAAGAGGTGACTCACAACGACCATCCCAGCAGGTTGATTCTAAGCCTGGCAAAACCTGTGTGTGCCACTGTTATATATGGCCAGCGGATGTATCGCAACCTATGGCTTGAATTTGCAGCACATCGAGGCCAACATCTTCCTTATGTTTCGGAAGGAGGAGCCACATGAGCCACCACGGTGTTTCGTGTTCTTACGGTGTCATTCGGCCACGGGTGCCCCCCCCGTATACGGCAGCCTTCTATCCACTGCCCAGACCGGGCCCGGTTAGGGCAGCGCCGAGCGACTTGCGGATGGCTTCACGGCTGGGGGTCGGGTCTGCAGACACGTCGTTGGTGGCAGTGGCCAACCTGGGTGGTGTCGTTGGTTTGGGCACTGAACCAGCACAGCTGGAACCAGCACTGCGTTCAAAAGCAGGTTTCAAGCTTGTATAGTGGCAACAACTTGATTCACCAATCCAAAATTGGGCACTGAACGATGTTGTGAGTCTGATCCTTCACAATTCAATCGAACTGTCACTGTGGAAGAAACGAAGGATACAGAACTCGGCGGTAAGGTGCTACAGGGTCTTACCGCTTCTTGGTGGCTGCAAAACGGGAACTTTCCCAGCTCACACGCACCCATGGTACGAACGTCTTCAAGTGTCCATTCTGCTGACGTCATTCATGTGCCTTCAATCCCTCCAGATTTGCATGCAAGTTGCGGAGTGAATTGTGTGGGAATTGGACAGGACACCTGAGGGCAAGTCTGACTTCTGTGACTTCTGTGACTTCCGTTTCAGAAACCTCATGGACTGGCAGGACTACCCTCCCCTCCACTTTAGAACCCAGGACACAAGCCTGGCACTAGCTTGGGCTTGTTCATTTATATATTAGAGTTATTCTCAATCAATTGCTAGTCCCTTGATTTGTTTGAAGAGCAAAGCATTGCAACGACACTTCCAAGGGACCAACCAAGCCAGCAAAGGTGGCAAGTCTTTCTGAGAACTGTTTGGTAGACAAATGTAGACAATCAACCTGAACACCTATTCAACCACATAATGCCTGTTTTTTCGAGGACATCGAGATTTGCGCTTGGGATCTCATCTGCGATGACGGGCCACACTTCGTGAAGGAGTCTCACTGCTCTCAAGAGGCTCAGTCTGTATAATGATATATATATATATTATATTACGTTCATAATGTAATAAGCTCATAGCGTCATAGCATTGCTTATTTACATTCAACCTAATCTGTTTCATCGTCGAGGGACTGCTGCCAAGCCGTTCCCATCTGCTAACTTGGAGCCCTGCGAGAGGATGCCTCAACATCAGCTACATGAGCTGCGAAATCTAGAGATACGCGTGAACTGAACTTCCATGAACTGTAGAAACATGTGAGAGAACCTCATGCCAATTCAAATGTCCGATGATGCTTCATGAGCAACAAAATTGCACAAGAAGAAGGACAAACCCTGCGCCTGCCGTCGATGCAGCATAGCCAGAAATCTTCATTCCACTGGCCACGGTTCCTGGAGCTTTCATGCATGGCGGCTAGTCAACCAAAGGGAGGGAATGCAAGAAATAGGAACGGTGTGATCAAACCAACCAACTTCAGCTTGCATACAGTCCTGGGTTCGTGGATGTCCCAAACAAACCAGTGTTGTGTCATCTATGTGGCACAGCTGCTGATCTCCGCAAAATGGTTGACATGGTCGTATCTATATACTCTTGAAAACTCTTGATTTGATGGAGCAATCTCGTCATATGGGACGGTTGATTCATCAAAAGCCTACATGAATTCAGGTCCTAATGCGTCGTAAATGTCCCCCACTGTCTGGCTCTGACAGGACGAGCTGTTGCTCTCGTTGGACCTGGGTTTCGACGAAAGGACGTGCTGATGGTGTGGATGGTTTTTCTCAGGGCTGCTGCTTTCAGCATACCGTATGAAAAAAACATGTCGGAACCACCGTGATGGTTCATGAAACGAACATGAGCATTCAATGACCCAAAGGATGTGACCTCACCCCCAAACATTGGGAAGTCCAACACACTCCCACTCCCACTGGCTTATCACATCCTGCCGAAATCGAAACGAGTACTGCCAGTGATCCAAATATCTCCACGCGCCCACGACGCAACGACGCCCCGCGCCCTGTTCGCGCGGACCGCGGACCGTGGCGGCTGGACGGAGACCCGGGACGCGTCGAAAGCCCAGTGACTCGAGACACGTCCAGTCGCCGGTGGTGGTCGCCTGGGCGAAGCGAGGATGACCGCGCTAGCGTCCGAATCCACGGTCCCGGATGAAGGTGTTTTGGTGTGATGCTTGTGAGCTGGATGAGCTGGACAGGTGCCTGTCAAGCAAGCCTGCAGGTGCCATAGTGTACACATAGCAAAGAAGCAATGGTCACACTCTGACATTGGTTCTCTGTTAACTGTTAACTCAATTCCCAGGTCGAAGGAAGGTGATGGAACCGAAAGGTGAAAAGTCCAAGGAGTTGAAGGTGGTTGAACAACTGTTTCTCGCAAGCTGCAAAACGAAGTGTTCACAAAACGCGCGGCTCAGCTGCAACAACGCGGTAGAAAGGGTTTGTGGGAGGTATCGTGAGCAAACCACCATGGAAACAACAAACAGCGGCCGAGGGAAACCAGTGGAGTCAATGTGTTAGTCGCAGGTACAGGTGGATGATCAGCCCACCCTTCCCTCGTCATACCGTAGCTTCGTTGCGTACGGTGGGTATGACGAGCCGTACGCCCCTGCGTTCAAAAAACTCTTACTTACAGAGGTTGACACACACACACACACACACACGGTGCCGCTTTGCGGCGCTCGCGCGGAGGGCCTGAATAGATACCTAAAAAGCCTTAGAAACAAAAGAAAGAAACACAGAAAGAGCAGCGCTAAGAGGGCAAGAGAGAAAGATAGGAGTAGAAAAAAGTGAATACTTAGCCCTTGACTGGGGTAGGGAAACGAGCCTCAAGAACAACCGAAAAAGCCTGAGAGAAAGCCCAGGAAACGACCAAAAGCGTAAGAAAGAAAGTGGGGGGCAGGGAGGGGATGTATGTGGCATGTGTGTGTCCGTGTGTGTGTGTGTGTGTCTGAATACTTAGCACTCTACTGATTACTTAGCAGAAATGAAACAAGTGCAATAGTTAGGGAGCGGGACTTTAGTCTTAAACCACCCGGGTAGAGTAGACTAGAAAAGGGACAACAGAGGGAAAGGCACCGACACACAAGTGTGTCGAGTACCATTTCCCTCTGTTACCCTAATTAGTGGGTGGGGGGGGTTGGGGTGTTTGGGGTAGAGAACATGTTTGGGTTCATTCTCCGTACAAGCCCGGCGGCTCTTGAATCAGTTGATTCAGTTATGAAAAGGTGGAAGACAAGGTGCAGTGGAAGAAGTAAATCCGTTACACGATTTCCGGAGTGAATTCAGCGCCCCAGTGACGGGGATCACACTCAGCACCCAAGTGGGACGGCTGAGCGGTTCACACTCTGACATTGGTTTTCTGTTAAACTCAATTCCCAGGTCGAAGGAAGGTGATGGAACCGAAAGGTGAAAAGTCCAAGGAGTTGAAGGCGGTTGAACAACTGTTTCTCGCAAGCTGCAAAACGAAGTGTTCACAAAACGCGCGGCTCAGCTGCAACAACGCGGTAGAAAGGGTTTGTGGGAGGTATCGTGAGCAAACCACCATGGAAACAACAAACAGCGGCCGAGGGAAACCAGTGGAGTCAATGTGTTAGTCGCAGGTACAGGTGGATGATCAGCCCACCCTTCCCTCGTCATACCGTAGCTTCGTTGCGTGCGGTGAGTATGACGAGCCGTACGCCCCTGCGTTCAAAAAACTCTTAGTTACAGAGGTTGACACACACACACACACACACATGCGGCTGGCAAGGTTGATTTTGCTGGTCCAAGCAGTTGGGGTTAGTTGTTAAGAGGTGCAATGCAAGACTTACATCGCAAGAATCTGGTCAATACGCGCTGCACAAGTCTTCGCCTGTGCTATGAAGTGACTTCCATACGGATCTGTGCTATGGGTTGACAGGTTGCTACTTGATGCTGCATGTGAACTCAATCCATCTTGATCGCTAGGCACAGGGACATCTGCCTTCATGGCAAGCTCTTGGAATGATTCACACTCGAGAGCCTGACACTAGCCGCTTGATCCCTGGCGGATGGCGACACATCTCGACGATTCACCCGACCAGGCCACCGGGCGAACGTCCAGTGCCCCCAACCCCCCAGAGATTGCTGCAAGCGAGAGTCGGTTTCCAGTGAGAGCAATGCACAATCCAAGGCATCGTTCAAGGTCGACAGTGGCCTGAGCGACCCATGCGCGGCCACTGAGAACACCCAAGTGGACCCATGAGCGGCCTCCCATGAGCGACCCATGCGGGAGGCCGGTAGTCCAGGTCTTTGAATTGCCTGTTGGTATATATATATATATATACACATATGATACCAACAAGAAATGTCAATCAATGCAAGCAGTGAGAGCATCAAGTACCAACGCTTGAGTGTTCTGTTCTTGCTATGTCCACTCCGGACAGCGTTTAAGAAGTCCAAGGTGCACTGCTTGTCCACGGTTTGCCCTGATGTGAATGGTGACCTGCAAAACGGTCAAACTGGTCAAATGGTGTGAAGGTGCCACGCGTCAACTTGTCAAAGCAAACTCCAAAATACATATGGTCCAACTGGTAGTTCCGCGTCATGCTGGCTGGCACAGACAGTGAATGCTTCAAGACAACTGGTCCACCTATGGCTCTGTTCATTCACCAAGGTCAAGAGCAGCTAAACAGCTAGACTCTAGACCAAACTTGTCAAGAGAGACCGTCCCGGGCCAAGCGCGAGAGCCAGTCCCACACGACACCGCCTGCTGATCCCTCTGAAAGTGATGCGTCACCAGCGCCGGGGTGATGGTGATCATGTCCTGACCGATTTCCAAGTGCAGCTGCCACCTCTCACCTGCTCTCTTGATCCATGGAGTATGGAAAAGGGCCAACAACCCAACATCAGGTTGACCTCATTCCTGAATGATTCTCCTCATTTGGCTTGTGAACGTCTTGGTACCGCCATGCCCCACCCACGTCATGCCATGCCACCATGCCCTATACCTGATGGAGGGTGCCACTAACTACTCCATCCAAGTGGCCGGGTGCGGGGTGTAGGTGAACATCCGGGAGCCGTCGGGTGCACTGCCTGCCGATCGACGAAGGCGTCCCGGACGAAGGCAGGACGAACGCACGGATCCCGGAGCGGATCCTGGAAGGTACCGAACTCCTCAGGGACCCGAAGGTACTGAACCTGGACCCCCGACAATGGCAGGTACCGGCCAATAACAGTGTCGGTTCCACCATCACCTTCTCAAAGGGTATGTGGATCCCTCGGGATGTTCTGTGGCAAGCAAAACGGGGAAGAAAACTGAGCACTGTCAGTTCCAGTGGAGCAATACATGTGACGTGATCCGGCTCGCTCGTTTGATTCTGCCTGCGCCGCGAAGTATCCCACACCTACTTCTGTATGACTAACAAGCCTCACCAATCCTTGGACCACCAGTCACCGCGCTCCGCGGTCTGACGTGAGCGGTGACCTCGACACGTCTCGGTCGACAAATCTCGGTGACCTGGTTGGAAGTCAGATGAACGCGTGATGTACATGGGCACCTGAGATGGCTGCGTGCAACGAAAGGGGGTCACACATCCATGGGCTAGTGACTATAGTGGCTTTCAAGCGCTTTGACCTTGGTGACCATGACCTTCCACCCCTTGGAAGAAAATTGATTATACAGTATACACTTCTCTGGGTTCATCTTGAGCAACTTGGTTCTTTGCCCAAGAAGCAGATTCAGCCACCGGATGCTCTGGGGAGATGCAAAGCAAATCCATCCAAAGGCTGGTGCTCATCTGTTGGCGGTCTGCCTGCCAAACAAATGAGCAAAGCTTGTGCCCACATCATCGGATAGACTGAGGATTGGAAGAGCTCAACCAGTTAGACATCAACTTGTACTCAGATTTGTCTTGCCCTTCTCTCGCCTTCCCCCCCAAACAAAACAAGGCAACCTGTCGATGGATGCTCGTGCACCAGTGGTCACCATTGCCTCAAAAAAATCGGATAGAAATTTACATTGAACATCATTCAACTATTCAACATTGAACCTTGAGGATTCAACAATATGCAACATTCAACTTGATCCAATTACAGTGGTTTCACAGTAGATGACACAAACACAAAAAGGTCCTTTATATGGAGGATACATTTTAAAAAAACACGTTGAGGATTGTGCCATCTACTCCAGGTAGCTGCACCTCTAAACCCTCCGAGCATCTTTTGAGAGGATGGACTTGGTAGCAGCAAATCCGGAAAGGAACAAATAAAAACACCGCTTCTGTTCCGAAGCGTGGTTTTTGGAGCTTCACGGATGTTCACGTGGCGCACCGATTCAGCGCACAGTACGAATCAATTCCCCACCCTGCGAACATGTATGATTATAGCAAAGCACAGGCCTCAACATGTCACAGGCCTGGCCTCCAACTTGTCATGCCAGGCTCTTCCACTGAGATCAGGTCTGATCCTTGATTCTTCGTCTTGGAATGTCTTCGGAAAAGGGCGTGCAACATCGTCATCATTATAGCTCAACCTCTTCAAAAACCGATGCACTCAAGCTCGGTTTAAACAAAGAATGGCTCACATGGCCCCTTGAGTTCTTGCACATGGCACCGCATGGCACCGCATGGCACCGCAGCAAGAGCCTCCCACACGCGGCCCATCGCCGCCCTACACGCCGCCCAGCTTCGCTTGGGAGGGTGGATGATCCCCAAAGACGCACCACAAGGCGTAGGGCTCCTCCGAGTCTTCCGGAATCCGCACGGTGAGCCGAACCTGGTGAGGCGTGGTGGTGAGGGAGTGGTGTCGGTTGGTGCATGCTTGCTCACACCCAGTGGTTGGTGCAAACGGAACAGGGAAAGAACAACATACATGGAGAAGCAAACATAGAAACACACAATTTGTTTCGTCCTGTACATCTCGAAACCTTCCATCTGTATCCTTGTATCTACCTTCCGCTCTGCGTTGTCATTCGAGGGTGGAATGCGGGCACAAACACACAAAGGGCCTTTGAAGATTCTAGATTCTAGGTGTTCAAAATTGTTGAAAAAGGTAGGAATCAAATGATGTAGCAAAATTGTTAAAACAAAATGTTCACCAAGGGATTACATAAGCTGAGGATCGTGTTTTGGCCTTTTGTTTTTGAGCCTCCCAGTTCCCTCTCGACTAGCTTCTATTTCAAGCCCAGCTGCCGTGGTCCCCCCACGCAAGGAGCCCCGTGAGGGTGAGAATGCCTGCGTCCAGCTGCGTGTGGGAAGGAGATATGATTCATATGTTATGATCACCTTGCGTTTGACCAAGGACATGCCTTCTAACTCTAGCCAACAAGACCAGCAACGGATATCATAGTCATAGACTTTGCAAGGCAAGACAAGAATCCTGGAGACATGGAACTTGCTGAGAGCAGGTTGAAAACCTATCAACAATTGTAACAATGGGACAGATCCTTCGGATCCTTACAGTTCATGAAAACTCACGACCCACCCTTGTGGGTCCAATGGATCATCCGCACCTGCAAGGACTGAGGACCACACCGCCAAGGACCACACCTCACTCTCACCTCCAAACCGTTTGGTCAACCGGTGCGCGCGCGCAATGCCGCGATGCCGCCTTCACCACGATCAAGGTGGTGCTGGGCTTCAGGTCCAGCAACGGCACCGCCGGCACCGGGAGGGGTTCCCGGTCGGGATCCAAGGGCGGCCTCAGGTGTCCAATTCACCGTGGGGGTCAGTGAAAATGACAAAGGTGCATGAGGATGCAATGCATCACCAAGATGACTGAACACAAACTTGAATGCCGAAAAGAGTTCGAGCAGGGTGGAGCAGGGTGGCCAGTCCAAGGAAGTCCAAAAGACGACACTGAATCTGCATGGGCATCGTAGGTAGCTAGGCAAGCTTTGCTCGCGCATCAAGTCTTTCAATCACCCAATTGCGTGATGTTCAGGATGGTCGCTCAGCAAAGAAAACCACTGGTGCTCAACCGACTCAACCACCTGTTCGAAAAAAAACATGAGCGAGATTGAGATCAAAGAGATCCTTCTTTTCCGCGTGAGGACCGTCAGGAGTTCCTGTCTTTCTCTTACTGTTGATTCTCATCTCGGTGGTCCATGCTGGAATCGTTTGGTCTTTTTCCAGGAACTCTGGGGCCGCTGAGGGACACATGCGTTCTGATTAGATGTTTCACTCGCCTGGGCGATGAAAGAACACACATACATCACAAATGCCTGACAAGAAGGAAAAGGCGATGAACAACTGAGCAGGTAGCGAAAAGGCCCCTGCATCCCTTCTCAAGGCCTCTGGACACTCAAAGCCAAGAAACGCCTGCTGCACGGCTGGACTGGCTGTACTTAAGAGGATCTCCTCTGAAGAGAGGTTTGGAGCGCCAGTTGCACTTGCATATTTGGGTGGGTCCTTAGTTCAGATATGCCACACTTGTCAACCGTAGCGTGTGTCGCGAGTGGGGTCGTTGCGTCTAAAAGCCAGCAACCAGTGCTATGCCACACTCGTCTGTGGCCAAGGCACGAGCTGCATGGGGACGGAATTCAGAATATGTTTCCTCAATCCGAAGAAGTGAGCGACACAGAAGTCGGACCCTGTCAGACTCAAGTCCTTTGCATGTTGGCACGCTGGCCAACATGGCCAACCAGTCGCCACAGCTGGTTAGAATATGTTAGAATGAGTTACTGGTTCTTAGCCGCAAAGGCCCGGTGTTCCAACAAACATGCATCCTCCATTCCCTTCTCCCACGATCGACTTTGAAAGACTTCAAAGACCTACCAGGAAGTTTCAGCCATGCAACAACCAAGTTCGGGTCTTTTTCAAGTGTTCAACCTCAACTGCCACAGAACCCTTCTGAATATGGATCCAGCTTCTCATCATAGAGAAGGGAAAGCAAGTAGTTTCCAGGTGCGATGGATGGGATTTCACACTCGACCCCATTCACGTCCATCTTTCGAGGTTCCTTCCTGCCAGCAGGAGGTGAGTTAAAGTCCTTATAAGTGGACAGCGGATCTGTTTCTCAGGGGTGGTCGCCATCATCCAAGTCATTATCACATATGATCATCAAGGTCTGTGCAAAAAAGCGATCTGGTGCAGCGTCCGCTAAGGCTAAGGAAACAAACATCAGTTCCTCACTGACTGCTGTGGATGAAACTATCTGGACCAGCCTGACATGTCCAAACTGGCAATGGATAACGACACCAGGCCTCAGCAACATGGACCAACAATCACAGGAATAAGCAAGCAAGCAAGCAAGCAAACAAGGCCCCAATCCTCTTGGACCATGGTCGGACCGATTGCCAGCTCCAATCTTCAGCAACAGCACCACTCCACCACCCACTCCACTTCCAGCTTTGGCTTCTGTGACCACAAGTTGTACCCCACCATTCAACGAACAATTTTCACACATTGAACACATCTATGTCACTGTGGCTGCCCGTAGGCCATTGCTGGATAGGCCTCCTGGAATCGAGCCGAGTCGGGTGGCCAGGGTTGGTGTTTGACCGGGCCACCGACTCTCAAGGTGATGCTTAAAGTGACGTCATGAACCTGTCTCCTCCAAGTCGTAACAAGTAACAAAGGACCAAACACTAAGCAAACCATTCTCAGCTGCAAAGCTCTATAAATGTATAGAATTGGAGGCCATCGCTAGTAGGTTGGAAGCCATCGCTATTAGGTTGGAGGCCATCGCTGTTAGGTTGGAGACCATCGCTATTAGGTTGGATGACAGGGGAAACACCTCAGTACCTGACTTGAAGGCAAGCCCCGACGCTTGAGAAAATCCTGAAAATGGACACCTCCCATGTATTCCCATGTGATGTGCTCGGAGCATGTCCCGTCCTCATTGGTCTGGAATCGTAAGATCTGCCCAGGCCGTATTGCACCACCCGGCAGCCACCAGGAGCCACGAAGAGGTGAGAAATAGCGGAAGAGGGGAGCATCCATGACCACCTGCAGGGATTTGGTCATGTAGTCAGTGCTCTTTTGTAAAGATGGGATCTGTCGCTATTCCATGATATGATGCCGATATTTATACCGAAAAAAGTTGTCAGACATGACCACCTGAGGAGAGCATGGATACGAAGAAATCCAAGAACCAGGTGACCCGACTTTTTGAGTCTCCATGCAGGTCCAAGGAAGTGTTAGTCGGACTCGGAACACTTGGATGTTTTATGTATTTTTCCGATCAAAAAGTGCCTCGTCGCAAACACTGACCCGAGGTGGAACATTGGCACCTCCAGATCTATTCTGCAAAGGGTATCTTTGTAAAGTGTGAGCTGGTGAGCATGACTGATTGTCTGACAGTCTGCCAGAGGCATCAAAGCCTCTGGATACTCTGGCCCCTGGTGAAGGGGAAAAACGCAGGACACCTCGTTCTTCGCCCGTGGCCTGTCCACTGGGATCTTCCAAACGTACAGCTGTGGCATGTGGCGTGGAGGCCTCCACGACGGACAACCACACACCCAGGAGCTCGGGTGCCGATTGGAGGATAGGGGCCATTCAATTCATTCCAAAAAAGGAACAAACAACACACCCGTTTGGAACTGCTGGAGCCTGTGTGTGATGGCCCGAAAGCCACCCCTTCGCATGGGTGACTCTTTGGAAGACTTTCCCGTTTCACCACGCGAAGATTTACAGATCTTCTCTGGCTGGAACTTGGGCTGTACGTGGGTCAGGTATGAAACCATCATATCAACTTCTCAGGATAGACACCATCATGAAACCATGGTGTCCAATAGGCTACCCTACCCTACTTACAGGTCTCCAGACAGGGCACTCTTTGTGACCAGCTCCCTCGCTCTCTGTGGAGAGGTCGGGGGGACCTGACCGGGCGAAGGAGCATCGGGGTGCGAGCGGAAGCCGAAATGGATTCGAAGCAATTGAAGGGAACCCCACCCTATCCACATCCATCGAAGTCGGGGGGATTCAACGGTTCAACATCCATGGTTTTTGCCACTAACTCTACCGCATCATGTGAAAATCCCAAATCCCAATCGACGTCCCAAGATCCAACGATCCAAGGCAAAACAAGGCACCAAGGGCACTCGACAGTGGCCCAGCTCAGGTGTCAGCGCCAGCAACGGGGTGCTCAGCTCGCCGATCTCCGTCTGTCGCCAGGAGCAGCGGTAGGGGATCCGTCCCAAGACCTGTGGAGAGGTCGCCAGGGCGACCCGGGGGTCCTCCCGGGGTCGACCGGTCACCAGTGTGAACTCGCAGATGTGAGGTTACCAAACAAGATGAAGAAGAGAAGCCAGCAAAGTCTGCACATCTGCTTCTGAGGAAGCAGATGTGAGGTGGAGTATGATTCAAAGGCGTGAGATTGTTAGGTCCAGCTGCAAGGGATCTCGAAAGCCAGAACTGCAGCAACGCAAGTGGTAACACTTTTAGAATCTGTTAAACACATCTCTCGAGCTCTTAGTTTTATGATGTACCTTACAGCCTAACTCTGAACTCTCAAGGATTCATTTAAAAAAGAAGCAATGGGTTGCGGCTAGTTGGCTCCTTCAGTTCCCGCCTCGAAGATAGGCGAATGGCTTTTCCATTCCTTGCAATCCAAGCGGTAATAAAAAGCCTACTCTGGTAACATCTTATATACACATACAAATGTAATCTACTAACCTGTGAGCTCTCATTAAGGACCATAGGCCATAGGCATTCTCAAACTACTCCTCCCCAACGCTGTGGGCTGTGCCAAGGCTCCAAGAACAGGGCGGCCCCCACGGGCGCAGTGAAAGGTGGCATCACCGCTAGAACCTCAGCTGCTCACCCCCAAATAGATCGAAAAGCATAGAAAAGTAGATCCCCGCTAAGAATGTATGTTTTATGAATGTATCGGAAGCCACCTACAACCAACCACAGTGCTTTCAGAGTAGATTGCACACATGTTCACGTTTAGTGTGTTTTTTTTAATAATGGACCCCAATATAAAAGACATCTTTGGGTTTGTGCCTTTGTGCCGTCGATTTGTTGAAGGAAATGCATGGAAATGCACTCATGGCTTGACAGGTGCTGCTTCTGCTTCTCTAAAACGGCCATGACAAATCAAAATTCTCAAATGCCAAAGAAATCCATCGGCACAATCTTGGAACCCAGATTCTTGAAACACATAGACTAGAATCTATAAGGTTCAGGTTAACAATATAAAACAATGGCTGGTGAATCTGCCATACACCGAAAGACCACTCGTTGCTCGGTGGTCTTCTCTCACTGGGGATCCGGATCCATCACGGCTGAGTCACTGGGCGCTCAGGTGGCACTTCGAAGCGAAAGTCCTCTTGCGCCGTGACCCAAATCCTGGCGCGGGACATGCGGGGTGTTCGGATTCTTCGGGTTGATCACTGGGTTGATATGTATATACTTACTGTAAGAACCTGATTGACCCCTGAATTGGAGCCAAAACATGGTTTCTTTTCCTATCAAAGCAGAGGTCAAATGGGTTCTAGGTATATATTCCGGGCAACTAGACCTAGGGCACTGAAACTGCATAGTTGTACCAAAAAGTCCCCTGCGATGTCCTGCGATATCCGTGTCGTTACATGGTCTGTGAGATGACACATCTAGATCGTTCACGACTGCATGACAAGGTTCAAAGTCAGGATCCAAATCAAACCATTTGGGTCCCAATTGCAGTGACCGAGTTCAGCGCTTCCAGTCTTCGGATGTCTTCCGTTCTTTCTCATCATGGTGAGAAAGCATGAAAGTGCTCAGTTCAGCCATCCAGTGTTCCAAGTACATCAGCATCCCTCTATCTCATTCTCTCATGCAATGTTCATAATGCTCCGTCCCATGGATCTCCCATGTTTGGCCAGGCCTCTGGGTGAGGTTCACCTTAGCTGTCGGAGAGACACGGTCGTCTGCATGTTTTCGTATGACCGCATTGCCAGCCTCGTCTGGGTGGTGCTTTAAAACCCTCCAAATATGAGTCAAACATAAGGGCGAGCTTTTTTTTCGTTTTTTTTTTTTTCCGCACTGTTTGTGGTCAGGGGTTGCCACAGGAGGCAAGGGAAAGAAGAGTAGGAGGAGGAGAAAAAGGAAAAGGATAAAAAAACTAGCATAGGAGGTAAGGAACAGAAGAGTAGGAGAAGGAGAAAAAGGAAAAGGAGGAAAAAAGGGAGGAAGAGAAGGAGACAGAGGAGAGAGGAGAAGGAACAAGAGAAGGAGAAGGCTCTTCCCGCTGCAGTCTTGCAGGTCACAATACAGTATACACCAGCCATGTGAGAATGGTAGCGCTTACCGGTAAGTCTGAAATATATAAATGTATGTCCATGCATGCATTGTATATCTATGTACGTGTATGTATACGTAAGTTTGTCTATGCATGTATGTCTGTCTGTCTGTCTGTCTGTCTCACGGGTGGCTTTGTGACGCGCTTGATGTGATGGTGTTCCTTTTTTAAGCTTTTAAAGTTTGGTTTATATTAGTAGGGGAGTTTGAAAGACATGTTAACTTGTTGCACGCGCATCGTGCGCTTAGTGTACCAGTCCAGGGTCTCTAGGGGTGATTTGGAGGAGGAATACTGTTCCCACAACTAATCACAAGGGGAGGCTGAGGTCTGACGGTGTTCCTCTTTTACCTTTTTTTACACTTTTTTACGCCTTTTATGTTTGGCAGGTGGACCAAGGATTGGGAAACATTCAGGGAAGTGGTTATGATGATGCAGCAAGTGAGAATCAAATTTTTAAAACAATACCTGAATTTGGTGAATAGCTACGCTAGGTCAAAAAATACCTTTAAAAAGTAAACAATAGAAAAACATAAAAAAAAGAGTAACAAAACGTAAAAACAAATAAGAACGAGTAAAACAAAGTATATATAAAATTGTAAAATATAGTTAAAAAAGAAAAACCGTCAGATCCATCCCCATCACTCTTGACATACATGACTGTCTGCCTGTCTGTCTGTATGTCTGCATGTAACGTAATGTAATGTAATGTAATGAAAGGATGTATGTAATGCAATGCAATGTAATGTAATGTAACGTGTGGTATGGTATGGTATGGTATGTATGCATCTATGTATGTGTGTATGTATGTATGTATGTACAGTATGCGCTTGGTTGTTTTCTTGGCTGTCGTGATGCGCTGTAGCAATACCGGCAGCAAAAAGCACGCGCTGAAAAACCAATCACCAAGAGTTGTTTGTGTCCAGGTCCTTTTTTCTGTAAAGTGTTTGAGGGTCAAATGCTTTGCAGGCCAGTCGCTTGCAAACTGGTTTGCTGGTTTTTCTTTGAGTGACCTGCTTAAATTTAAACAAGCGGGAGGAGGTGCGGGGGAGGGCGCAGCACCTCCCCCGCAAAAAAAAAGAAGTATAGTGCCTGGCACTGACACATTGCTCCTTCCTCCCTTCCTCCCTTCCTCGCTTGCTTGCTTGCTTCCTTGCTTGCTTGCTTTCTTCCTTCCTTCCTTCCTCCCTCCCTCCCTTCCTTCCTCGGCAACAGAACCTGGAAAAAATAATCTAAAAACTCATTGGAAAAAATCCACCAAAAAAGGGGTTCCCAAACATAATGGGTAATCAAATGAAGGCACCAAGGAGTTGTCTCTTGTGTCATCTGCCATCGTCATCTCTTGTTTGTCTCGTTCATGTGAGAGTTGAAAAGGACCCAATTTGAGGTGCCTGAGTTCATTCATACTCATTCATCCACAGAATTCACAGAATCACTACTACTGAACATTGCCCCATTGGATTGATGGTTGATTCCAAAACATCTTTGGCAATCTAGCCATGTCTTCGCATGCTTTGCTCCCAAAATCCAAGTCATGCAAACGAGGTGCCTCAGTTTGCTCCAAAGCCACCTGCAGTTGAAGCTCCACACGTGCCACCGCATCCACCGTTGGCGAGCGACAGTGGACTGAGCGGCCCACTGCAAAGGCGGGAGAGGAACCCAACCTGTTTGGGCCAAACGTGGCAAGTGCAAAAATTGACGTGTAGTCTAAGTGCTCTACATTCTGAGTGTAGAAACGTGTCAATGCCTTCCCCCTGTAACAAAAAGAACAAATGCAAAAGCCCTTGGCCCAGTACGACGGTACGACTGAACATGACTGAACAAAGATGCAGTGTCACATTCATCACCGTGTCCTCTTCGAATTTGCTTGTTGAAAGAACAACGGCACCCTGCGGCGCACGAACTCGCCTCCCAAAGTGGCATCGCAGCAAGGCACCCTTCGGAGGGGCCACCGCCAGGTGCAATGCCAAGGGCGTTGCCAGGCCCAGCACAGCTTGAGTGGGCGAGACTTCAAGGACCCGAGGCCGTAAAAGCAAGCGCCTCGAGAGGCAAAAATGGTCGTGACTATTGGACAATCACCCCTCCCGCCAGATGGAGATGTGCCATCTAAGCAGAGGGATATATATATATATATAATATATATATATATAAGTAATCCATGAAAGAGTGACAAATCTCTTCCTGCTCCCTGGGGCAGAAGGGCCCCCGAAAAGGCATCCCTATGCGCCCCCTACCCTCCCTGTGCGGCCATCTAAACCTCTTACATGCGGTCAAGGACATCAAAGGGGGGGGTATCGTTTTTTGCTGCCGACCTTATCGTTTTTGAAGGCTTGCGTGATTTTGGGAATCAGCCATAGCTGCGCACCCACAGTGGCCGCTTCTTCTTTTCATTGATTGACAGAGCCCCACATGTCACACAAAGCGTTCTATGTTCTATTTTCCTTGCCACTGAGGCCCATGTGTGGAACACATGTGGACTTCTGGCCTTGTGGGCCTAAAAATGCTCAAGTATTGATCAGAATGGTATCGTTTAAGTATCGCTTGCCATCCTGCAAGTTCCGCTAAAAAACCCGCCATTTTGAGGCAACACAAAACAGGAAGGCAACATCTAAGGGAGCGCGAAGGATATATTTTTGTCAAAGCATATATCAGACTCAGACTTTACCTTTCTCAACAATAAGGTGCAACAAACGTATATGTACAGTATATATAATATATATCAGAACCAGGATAATGTATATAACAAATCAAAATATGTTCCCGACCCTATCGTTCTTGAGGTTATCCATTTACTACCAAGACTACAGTAGCATGCTCAAAAATGATGTCCAGCCTCCTTTAAGAAACTTTAAGCCACATGTTTGGACAGGTTTTGATAGGTGACATGTTCTCCCTGAGCTGGGCCACAAATTGAAGGCCGGTCCAATGTTCTCATCAATCCCGGCATTGGTGAAGACCAGCTGAGCTCGTACCTAACACCGAGTCGCTGCACCCGTCCAAGCCGACGCGAAGATCGCCGGCATGGCATGGCAGAAAAAGCAGCGCATGGCCTGTGTAGGCCATAAAAAAAGGCCAAACGAATTGTGACTTCAATAGTTTAGGTTTATTCGATAAACCTGGCAGCAACCCCCTATCAACGATATATTTACCATGTATTGAAGATTGTGAAGCAATCACCTGGAATTACCAGAAACACCGCCAAAGACCAGGTCGATGTAGACCTGCGATACCGTCGCGTCGCGTTCACTGCTCGCCTCCAACCCCTTGAGCGAGCTCAAGTCGACATCGCATAAGAAGGGCCATCGGTCTTCCCTCACCTTAAAGGTTCAGCCGGAATTGTTGACCAAGCAAAGCGCCAAAAAAGCGCACCTTGGTCCTTCATTGAAGCCCCCTTCTTGATTGAAGTATTGCCATGCTCATAATGTTCACCAAGCTCTTCAGAAGTAATCTTTTCAACAAACTGAAAAACCGGACCGAGGTTGCAATTGGACTCAGTCTTCCCCTGAGGTCGCTGCGAATTGCGCCGGCACGCGCACTTGCTCAATCTGACAGGAGAAGCTGGCAGGGAATAATCGGGCATAGTCCAAAAGACCTGCGGTACGGTACGCGCACCGTTTTCTTCGCATGAAAACCGAAAAAACGGACGCTCAGTCCGTGCCCCCCTTCTTTGTGCAGACGCGCAGTCCATGCACAGTCCATGGGCCTCTTTGAGGCAGATGTTTGACACGGTAAGACGACAACGACGACGACAACGACTGCAACAACCGACAATTCAATTTCTACCGACAATGACGACAACGACTTGTAGACTCCGAAGAAGTCTCTTTATTTGTAGGGTTACTGTTACTGTATCGTTTTGCGGGGTTGACAAAGCAAACAATTGAACTTTGTCGATTTGCATGGCAATCATACCCCTCGCAATGTGCAACACCAATCATTGAGAACATCCAATGGGCCAACCACTTGGCTCCCGGAATGCGCTGCGATTTGCCACCTGGATCGCACATCTCTGGTCATCTCCGTGTGTTCATGTTCGCATCTTGTTACAGTATTACACCCTGGAAAATTGACATGGAACCTGAAAACCACTGGGTTGTAAAGGAACATCGTCCCCCCAAGAATCCATGCCATCAGGTTCCATGTTAGTCACCACCCGGGTGATCCCGTAGGTCAGCATCTCCTGTTCGTCTTCCTTGTGCACCATCCTCTACCGTCTCGTCTCGTCCGGATGGACCGAGAAAGCGGTCATTTCTGGGGCCGGACCAGGTGGACCGGACGGCTCGCAGACGTGCGTGGCTGGTGACGTGGCTCGACGTTTGATTTGCTTTCATTACTTTGATGAAGCCCGCCTCTTTTCATTGCCAGGCAATTTCAAGGTGCAAGTTAATATTCTCACACGTTCACAGCGCCAAAATTCATTTCCCTGTTGCTTGCTTTCATGTCCATCTTAGGGTAGCCATGTAGACTACGGGCCAAACCAGGTCCAGGGTTCAATTGTCCGGCCCCATGTGGCCCTTTCTTTGAGAACGCAACGCTCAAGGCCAAAATGAATTCATCGCAGGAAAATTCACTTGGGGGCTGCAAGTGGCTCCTCTAGTACCTTCACCTTGGAAAACAACAATAAGTTCCACAGCAACTCCATGGGGACCTTATTTATCGTTCTTCTTATGCCCTGAGATCTTTATATGTATACCGCATACTATTTCTTCCTTTCTTCCAGAAAGACCACTTGCTGAATTGAGTGGTCTTTTCGACTGCCCGATATCAACTCCTTCGACTTCTCTCGCGTGCCTTCTCCACCGAAACGCAAAGGCACCGACTCCGCAAAGGCCTCCCTTGGGGCGAAATAGACTGAGCGAAGGTCGAGCAGGATGGAGGGAAGACGCCTCAGGTCTCTGAATCGCAGCACGGTTGGGCTTGAAGTCACGGGTTGCATGGTTCAAGTCAAAGTCGGAGAAAACTACTACCAGTATATGTACCAAAAGGAGGCCATCGCTCTTAGGTTGGAGGCCATCGCTAGTAAACTAAAAACTGGTATTGCAGGAGGTCCCCCAAATGTTAAAAACGTTACTTCAAAGAACTCAAATTATAGCAGTATAACAATTCAAAAAAAAATCACAAAAAAACACAACAAACTACCACATATAACCTCATTCATTTGTCAAAATCATAACTACTAACCATCTGGTACCTCATTCATTTTTCAAAATCATTACAGTGAATACATAATATACTATCTCATTCAATCCACAAAATCATCACTACTAACATCTACTAACCATCTATTACCTCATTCATTCCTCAAAAATCATAACTACTAACCATCTATTACCTCATCCCTTTTGAAATCATAACAGTCAATACATCATCACCTCATCCATTCCATACCCAAAAAAACAACCAAACAACAAACAACAAAACAAACCAAACCTTCTTTGAAGTAACGTTTTAAACATGTTTTCCCCCGCCCTCCGGCCCCTCCCCTTTACGGGGACGTAATTTCTCCGGGACCTCTGAGCATCCCTGCTGCGCATAGTTCTCAGGATGTCCCAGGAGTCCTGTCATCCTGGAGTGAGAAATGACCAAAACCGCGTATAGACACTGAGGATGCGTCAGTGTCTTTTCATGAAAAGAACACATTTTTTTCAAACCTCCCACTGATTCTTCGTGCATCTGATATGCGTTACCCAAGCTTCTTAGAACTTGTATGAACTTTTCGTGACGCTATACTACAAATGTTGCTCCGCCCACAACATGTGGGCCCACTGATCGGAACCAGGCCTGAAGTACTGTGCCTCTGGCAAATACCGCCAGGAAAGTCGGCACGTGCCCCCAGCACAAGCAGTGTCAGATGGGATGTCCTGCAACGATGGGATGTTCCACGAAGTCTTCACCGGGTTGGATGGCCATCTTTCTGAACATGCCTTGCTGCTGTTCCTCGGAGCTGCTCTTCCCGCTATTTCTCAGCATCATGCAGATATCGATCAATCTTCATACCCGGTGAACAATGGCAGGGGGGGGTTGGCCAGGCATTCTATAGACACATCAATCACCGTATCAAGTCTTCCACTTTGAACCTCACATTCTGCGAAGACCCCGACGGGTCGGTACGCCGGTGGTCCAAACGCTCCTGTTGCAACGGTCGGTCGGAGACGATGAGAGACATCTTCGACGTGGTTTGCCTCAGCTTTCGGTCCCAACATCGGATGCTGGATGCTCTCCAACGGCTCTTGACCTCCAACCAGTCCGACTCCTTGGTGGGGGGGGGCTCTCCATGGAGTCTTAGCGCAGCAAGGAACACTCTCGTCCGCTCTTGCATCAGCCCATCAAAACGATACCGGGCAACACCAGGAGCGGCTGCCCAGCAATTGAAAGGCGAAAGCGTAAGGTTCCCAACATCGCCTCCTGGACGAAAGAACAGGTTTGGTCGAAACACGTTGATCCATCATGTATCCCTGCGAACCCGGGAGACCAATGTAGCGTTCATGTGAATGAATTTGTTATGAAAAAGTTCAATGAGTACTTTGGTTCATAGGGTATGGTTCACTTTTGTCATATAGCTGTCAAAAAATGCCCCTTTGCCATCTCTCGTTAGATATCGTTACATAGAGCCTCAATCCCACGCCCCCATAGGCAGCGTGATGTAGCGTGGTCAAGCGGGTATGATGTCATGCCAGGGGGTAGTCTTTCAAGGCAACCAAACAACAGGCTGACTTGGAAATATGCAGGAAGAGGAGCACGTCCTCCGTTCCCCGCGTCAAGCAGTAATTGTGGATGACATGGAACTGGAAGGACTCACAGCGGCATCCTGCGGGATGGTGCAAGAGATCATGGTGTCGTTGTGAAAGGTTGCCGCAGCATAGGCAGCAGTGACGCCTTCTTCAGGAATGTCTTCGCCTGGTGGGCGCAAGCTTCGCCACGAGACTTCCATCAACATCCCAAATATGAAAAGCCAAAAAGAATGCGGGATGTGGATGGCTACCTCTGTTGAACCCTTGCTTGCCACAAGTTCTTTGAAGCTATGGAGCAACTATGTAACCAAAACCGGAAGACTTGGCCAAGAAGGCCACCATTGGAAAGCATTCCACGCTTCGATGCGCCTAGAATGCATCCCCCATCTTGTGGAAGCCGGCGTCCCGTGACCAGCAATCGGTCACCACGGGGGAGGGCCGACATGGAATCGCTGGACCTGGGGAGATGCGTTCGGCAGTCCACTTCGAGCTGTGGCAGTCTACTGTTGGTTGGCAATTCAGGTATGTGGCAAGATCTGGGTCCACCCAGGTCATGAAACAAGATAGAAAGGCAAAATCAAGCCCAACAAGAAACACTTGACCAAGAGAAAAGCCCCTTGAGAATCAGAACTATCAAACATGGCAAGGTCAACAATTCAAGAAACATAGAAACAGGACAACAAGGGCTGAGGAAAACCTTTTTAGCACAGGAAGGACTCAATATAAAAAGAACAAGGAAGGGCAAAGGAACTAATGAACGGGACAAATTGATTAAAATTTGTTGGGCCATATAACAAGTTTGGAAGTATACTTCAAGGATCGAGTGGTGTCAGAGTCATAGACAACAGGAGTAGCCAAAAGAGCCCGAGCCAAAAAAACTCAGGAATCAAAGGAGGATCAACTGATGCGCCGATGCGCCAGCAAACAAATCCAGAATCTGCTCAGAACACAAACTATAGTCACAAAAAGGACTACCATAGCATAGCAAATCCTGCTGCTAGGTAATTATCAACAATATGATATACAGTAATATGTACAGGACAAGACCATGAGGAAAACACAATAGGTCGAGGTTCCTGGGCCGCTAACAAGTTTAAAGTGACAATTCTTGAAAGTCAAAGCGCCAAAAACACATACACACACACACACGAAAACAACTACAATTTCAAATAAGAGGTCTTGGGCTGGAGTGGTGGTCCCCAACAGAGTCTGTATATAGATTGTTGTGGTCATTGCTTTGAGATGCAACCGTCTTGATTTGCCTTTCACGTCTTCGTTTTGTCATGTACTTTCTCCACCTTCTTTGTTTCTTGCTTCTATTTGTGAGCTTGGTTTTGTGTGGAAACCAGGAATCTCGACCTCTTGTATTTGTGTCCATAGTTTCATGAAGGGCACTCGCCACAAATGTGTCTGAGCTTGATCCTCTGGCAGCACATTTGCAAAGTCCAAGGAGGAGCCCAAGGTAAAGTGTAATTATCAACAAATTGCACAAGTAAGGAAGGTAAGGAAGTATCATAGCAGCCCAATGGAAAGTAATGTTTGAAGTGAGCTAGCCTTGGCCCTAGTTATGTAGTCTTTAACAAAATAGAATCATTAATTGATAGCACGTTCAAGGAGAAAATAAGGCATTCGCACCCGGCTCCGCTTGAAAAGGGTGTACCATGGCCACCAAGCTGCAAGGTATCCACTTGTGCCATTTCCTTGGCCGCCCAAACTGGCCTTTCGCGGGGTTTGGTGCCCGACTCAAGAGCATCCTTCAGAAGCTTGGGAGGTACTTGAACATCTCCCACCATGGTCTAAGCGACCATGGTGGAATAGGTCAGTTTTAATGTACAAACGCCCAAGTCTCCCACCATCAAATATCACTGCCACAAGAATGTCCCGAGTCTCAAACCCATTGAAGGGAAGATTCCCAAGACAAAATTCTGACCCTGCACAGAATACGAGCAAAATACATCTGATTGACAATCATCGCAAGCATACCAAATCGGGTAATCTTCCCAGATTAAATAAAACACATGTGACATATAGTGTATGAACATTGATGAACACATGAGTTGAAATATGAATAACCAGTACGACACCGAATCAGTTTGCAGTTTGGATCCAGAAGATACCCCCAGTCGCACCAAAGTCCCAAATGGTTGTGGCTCAAACCAAGAGACCCCCTGATGTACCTACCTGGTGTCGGTCGTTCGCTATGTGGACTCGTCGTGAACACACGCTTGGACGAGCCCCATCTGTCCCATGGCCTCCCCCCTGAGAGCGATGGAGAGCGGTAGACTCCAACCTAGTGCGATTCTTCGTGACTGCCCAGGCTCTGGAAACACCTTGAGCATCACCCGCGGCTCTGAACGACTCTCGTGGAGTCCATCCACCAGGACCTCCACCGCATGGTCTCCAGGGCCAATGGCCTCCACCTAGACAAGTCCATGCTCGCTTTCTACAGTTTGTTATCGTATCTCTTCTTATTGTTTGTAAGCAAATGTAAAAAACCATCCACTGGTTCAAAATCAAAGCATGCAGCATGTGGTTAAAATTTCCTTGGATTTCCTCGGCTGCTGAATGTCCCAAGCATTGCAATTTTTTCCGTCGCTGCGAAGCCGAACCAGCAACAACCAAGGCACATCTGCCGCCGAAAGTGTACAAGAAGCCACACGGCTGGTCGACACCTGAGTCTCCAGACCGAGTCCGTGGCGAAAGCAATGTCCGAACGGTGGTTAGGCCCTGGAGAAGTAGGAAGTTGGTGAGAAGCAAAGAATAAAGTTGATAAAGTGAGTAGTATGGCAGCGGCAGGGGTTGTAGTGGTGGTAGTAGTAGTAGTAGCAGTAGTCGTAGTAGTAGTAGTCGTAGAGTAGTAGTAGTAGTAGTAGTAGGAGGAGTAGTAGTCGTAGCAGTAGTAGTAGTTAGTAGTTAGTAGTTAGTAGTAAGTAGTAAGTAGGTAGTAGTTAGTAGTTAGTAGTTTGTCGTTAGTAGTTAGTAGGTGGTAGTAGTAGTAGTAGTAGTAGTAGTAGTAGGGTAGTAGTAGGGTAGTAGTAAGTTAGTAGTAAGGTGTAGTAAGGTAGTAGTAAGGTAGTAGTAAGGTAGCAGTAAGGTAGGAGTATGGTAGTAGTAAGGTAGTAGTAAGGTAGTAGTACGGTAGAAGTAAGGTAGTAGTAAGGTAGTAGTAAGGTAGTAGTAAGGTAGTAGTACGGTAGAAGTATGGTAGTATTAAGGTGGTAGTAAGGTAGTAGTAAGGTATAGCAGTAAAGTAGTAGTAGCTAGTAGTAAGGTAGTAGTAAAGTAGTAGTAAAGTAGTAGTAAGGTAGTAGTAAGGTAGTAGTAAGGTAGTAGTAGTAGTAGTCGTCGTCGTAGTAGTAGTAGTAGTTGTTGTTGTATATAGTAGTAGTAGTCGCCGTCGTAGTAGCAGTAGTAGTAGCAGCAGTAGCAGCAGCAGCAGCAGGAGCAGCAGCAGCAGTAGTAGTTGTAGTTGTTGTTGTTGCAGTAGCATCTACTGCACTGTGACTTCTTCTGACAGTGCCTAGTTGAACTTGAACTTGTCATTGTCCCAAGACATTCCTACAACATCAACCGTCATTGGTCCTTTTCCTGAGGGATGATATCAGGGATACTCAAGCTCATCCGGAAGCCTTGGTGCCATAGACCTCAGGAGTTTTACTGACTTACTTCTTGAGTGAATGCATCTTCCACATCTCCGTCCCGCATCTGCCAGTGACCCACCTGACCTCGCCCACCACCAGCTGGCTGCCCACCTCGCAAATTCTTCAGAGCTTCTAGTTGCTTGCTGCTGTCGGGGAATTTCCGAAAGCATTACAGCAATGGCACTAATTGCAATGGAGGGAAATTGTTTGAATTGCTCGACCATCTTCCATCACCGCTCCCTGGTCAAAGAAAGCACGCCAAACGGGCGCTGATAATTGGTTGCTGCACATGACAGGCAGTGAATGGCAGTGAGTCAAGCCTTGCAGCGAAAGCTGGCCACTGCCATGCGCTGCTCAGGGAACTGGGTGGCGAGAAGGAATAAGGTCCAGCCTGTCCCAGCGTATTATGTTGCTTTGAGCGTTCAACTCAAATGTGTCAAATCAAACCCAATCACCTTAGCGGCCATTGCACACTTGATACGAATACATGATTATAACTTTACAACATACTATATTATATATAGTATATATTACAGTGTGTATATATGTGTGTGATTGTGTGTGTGTTCAACGAAGCTCCTTTGACAACGGTGTCCCAATTGAATTCTCATCAACCCAGGCGCCCCGGAAAACACCTAACGTTCACCAGGCCTTGGCCGGGATAAACCTGTGCAGGTGACAGGTGCAAGATCTGCGGCTGCTCAAAGACCTCAGTGCAGATGTACCTTAAGTGGTGTCAAAACCGAGTTAAAATTAACAAGTATAGCTTTCAATGGAACATTTAACATCATTTAACCAGAAACATCTAGAAACCATGGTTTTCACTAACTATGGATTTCCTGTTGTTCCCTAATACCATCTGAAGCCCATTCTAGGACTCACCGGGCCTCGATCATGAGTGGTAGGGTCAGGAAGTGGAAATCGGGTGCCTGGCCCGTCCGGTCGTCGCAACGCGGAAAACCCGAAAGTATTGAGAGCAGATTTAGTTGATATCATTGAAACCCGGGCTGATCCAGTCTACCACTTAGTCTCATGGATTTAGTGGATTTTTTGGGATGTGCAGCTGCATCTGGTGCATCACTTCAACGAATCACACCGGATTTTCAAGCTATTTGAGTGTGAGGGCCTCTCTTCGTCTGCCGCAACGAACCATACGAACCTGGGTGCCGTTTTTCGCTCCTGTTCGATTTCTCCGACCGCTCCGAACGTGTTCGACCGAACGAACGGCGCATCTCGGGCCTCGGCCACTTGAAGGGAATAGGAGCCCGGCGCGCCGATCGCTGTGCGACACATGATGCTTGTATTGGTCAACTGGGAAGCAAAGACCTCGTGAGTTGAACGGGCGCGGACATGCACTGATTTTGGGGAAACCCGGGGCAGTTGGGCCAAGAACGTGCCTTTTCCGTGCCGGAGTTGGGGAGGGTTCCAAGGAGTGGGTTGTTTTCAAGTCTTTTCCTTTCTCACCAAGGGTCCTTCCATGTAGGCAGAAGGGTCAGTTGGAGGAGTGGTTGTTCCTGTTTGGGGAGGACGCGCTGTCACAGAAAGCTGTGTCAGGTGCAAAATGGAAAGCAACGGAGATACTTCAAGCCGAAAAAAGTCCAAAGGACGCAAACCAATAACATCCTGATGGCCATCTGACGCTGCAATGAATGTAACACGCTCGGATCATTCAATGCATTCATCATTTGTTTCCCTCTCGGGTCACATCAAAACACCAGGCACCGTTCCGGCATGTTTTGGTGCAATCTTTCTAAAGAACTTCAGAACCTGAGTGCTTTTTTGAGAAGGCAAGGGCATGCTGCAAACATATATATGTCATATATATGATAATATATATATATGGTTCAACATCGATTCGCATTCCAGGCGAGCATCCTGCTCGCCATCGGGATAAAGTCGGCAGGCCAAACCGTTCTCAGGCGGAACAGAAAAGGTAATCACATAAGCCTCGGCAACGTGACGGAAAAGCAACGGTCTTCGGCTGAGGCGTGGCGACCGAAATGGGGTGGTTCTGAAGTCCCATGAATACAGGGTTACCAACTGGGTTCAGCTTCGAAACCACGTGCGCACCATGCCAACACAACCTACAACATTCTACAACTCCGTGCAATTGAACATGCACTCCCATGGCTGGCCCTTGAACATACATCCTTTGAAGCCTATATATATATATGAACAGTATATTGCTATCATACTGCAAAAATATTGCCTGCTGGTCACCACCCTGTGTATATAGCTGCCAGCCCAACTCCGGTCTTTGCATTGCTGAGAAAGCTTGGACAAATGAGGCAGGGCAGGACAGGGCATCCTCGCATTTATGCATGAGTGATCGATCTAGGTTTCCTGTCATGGGTTTGACACTTCACCTTGCTGGCCTTCACATTTTCCCTAGCACACGTTGAAAATAGAAGTAGCTCCAGAATTCAAGCCATTACCTGTATCAGTCACTCAAGCCACTAGCCTACATCCGGCCCGGTGCGTAAATACAAAGGACGTCTAGAGTGCATCAACTTTACTCCCAGTCCCAGGCTTAATGCCCATCATGTGCAAGCAAGAATGACGGTGGCCAGTCGATGTTAACACCTAGCCGGACTGGTGGAAAAACACCCTACTTGGCTGGGTGGGCATGTTCAGCAGGTGAGGCGATTTTGATCATCCAGGCTGCTGAATCACTCAATGGTAGAACATCAGGCACAACTGACACCACCTTAGCTGCACCGAACCACCGTGTCGGACCGTGTCGACCGACCATTCGCGAGAGGTCAGGAACCACCAGTGACAACGAACGAATAGGTCAGTATCTACACCGAACGGACTACACGATAGGTCCTAGGTCTCCGATTTTCTTCCCAATTGTACCACAGTTTTCGCAAGATTCTTTATCGCACACCCTCTTCCACTGCAACAATCTCTGAGCCGTCAGCCTCCCAAATGGAGTACAAGTTCTCAACGGTGTCAATGCTGCTCTGAGTTGAAATCACTTGCCTGCAATGTCTTGAAAGCAATTTGAACCGACAGAGCTTCAAGGCTTTGCCAGGCTTTGCCCCAGAAGGTTGCCACGATCGGTGAATAAAGCTGTTGCCAGCACTATACCAGGTTATGCTTTAATGCATCTGTAGTTCCAGCAGTGCTGTTGAAAAAGGGCACTGGTTCTTCCTTGCTCAGCAATAAGACACCCCGCAAACCAACAACATGGACTGTGAAACGAACCCCTGTTAGACTGTTCTCATCTACCACCTACCACCCAGTGGGTTTGAGGGTCCATGTTTAATCTGCAGGAGAGCGCCTCACCACATCTATTAATATATCAATAATTGTATATAGCTATATATATATATATTTCATTAATTAGTCAGCGCAGTTTCCTATGAGTTTCCATAAGTTCAAGTTCACCGTTTGATATAGTGCCCTTACGGATGATCGTGGATCCATTCAATAAAGCATCTTCTGTTGTGGGTCGAACCAAGCAGCGGGTCGAAGCTGCGCTGCGTGGGGACTTCGCTGAGAGCAGGCTCCGGGGCAGGCGGCTGGCAGAAAACCTCATTGTCAAAAGCATCAAAACGGAGATCTGTGCATTTTTGGGTGGTGATCTGGGTGAGGCTCCCTGCAAAAAATCCAACTCGCAAATGGAAGCCATCAAGGAATTATGGCCTGAAGACAAGCGCCTAGCAGTCTCGGTGTTCCAGAAGTTCTGAGCGAAGAATGGGCAATGGCAACATGCAATAGCCATGTGCAAACAATCAATCTCACGGTTATATACATGCGCGTTGCTATTCTTGTATATTTGGCAGTGGGTCACAACAGGGTGACCCTGGTTGAGGGTTTGGAGCTGCAAGTGGCCAGTGACCCACTGCCATTTTTGTCAGGAGTCCTCGAGGAATCATTTTGACGGTCAGGAAGTGCAAGCAAGTTGCCTGCGTATCCTTGCACTCCTGCAAGAAAAGACTACGTGACTACAGGCTTCGGCTTCTGACCACACGAGCGGCTACAGGCGAGCCGTGGAGGCGCTTCTCTTGCAACAAGATGATGTGAGCCGAATAAATGCATAGTGCGGATGGCTCAGAAATTCGATGAACATGGTCACTATACATGTCGCTTTTGCCCACCTCAAAAAGCGCCATGGCAGGTATGGGCCTCTGTACGCGCACAATATTTATATATATATATTATATACAGTATATATATACATATGACAGTAAACCCTATGCTTCCAACAACCATTGATGACATTTTTTTAACCAAACAGCCATTGTTTTACTAAGGAATTTGCACTACAACAACAGATCAACCTTTCAAAGGTCTTGGAAGGCTAGGGTAAATATATGCGCATGTGCAGGAGGTTAGGCCGGTTGGTCCTCGGACACGTCCTCAGCTAAGATGGTCGTCACCTGCGGTCGACGCAGCGTATACGGTCGGATTTTTCGAAGTTATGGTGTGCATGCGCATGTGCACTGTTTGCATACGGTTGCCAAGATCTAGATGGATTATGTACGGGATCTGTGATGATGGAACATGAACACCATGGGCATAACAATCTGCATTGCATTCAGCCTGCAAGGTTGGCGCAGCAACCTTGGCGTAGTTTGGCACCGAAGGTTGGCGTCAAAAACCGTGGGATAAACCGTGTCAACCATCATGTACGATACGGGCCGGTCATGTCAGGACTCCAGGGCCGATCATGTCAGGACTCTCTAAATTCCAAGGTTCTTGCAACACACTCCAACTATCTCCAACTGGAACGGAACGGCACTTGCCAAGCTGCTCTTCCAAAGGTAATTTTCTTCTTGGCAAATGCCTGGCCCGCTTGATCCCGTTTGGCTGGGCTGTGTCATCACTTCAATGCAAGCAGCACAGTAAACGAGTCAAGTCCCAGCTGAGTGTTACCGCAGTGGATGTGAACCAGTTCTTGTGAAGTCTCTAGCACAGGGTACTATCTCCCTCTCACCAGCTGTGACGCTCTCCGCACCTGCAGAACATTAGCAAAGATCAGGCCCAGCTTCTTGCTGCCAGCCACTGATGAGGTGAGGTTGCACAGTGCCCGCTTGTCGGACAAAAGCACCGCTGGGGCGCGGTATCCGTCACCTGGGCTCCCGCGGGCGGTATACCGGCACCGGGTCCCGCCTCGATGCCGATGTCCAATTGGCCAAGGGGGCTCCAGATGGTCACAGGGTACCCAAACTGATGCCCAGGCCAATCAGGGCCAGTCTTCGTTTGCAGTCTTTGACTTCTGGAATGAGGTGGCAAAAGCAGGTCACAGGAACATGGCCCCACGAAAACGGTCCCTACCAGGCCCTACCAACCTGTCGACTGAGGAGAGAGATGTTCTTCGTCTCAAACACTGCCGCATGATGCGTTGAAGAACTGAATTCTTCTCCCAATTCCAGCTGGTCAGCTTCTGGACGTACTACTTATGACGATCGCCTGCCATCACTGGACGCGCATCCATTTCTGATTGAACAATTCCATTGATAAGCCGGGACACCTCCCAAGTTGCACTCCACCACGGACTTGTTCTCCTTGGTGGGTCTTCGACTCCAGCGGAGTATAGCGAGTCGGGAGGATCGAGGCCGGCCAACACGTCTCATCGCGCACCCGAGGGACAAGATTTTGTGGTCATCCCAAGCATGAACAGGTCTTCACCGGGAGGACATCATTCTTCCAGTCGTTGAAGTTAAAGTTCCAACAAAAAGTGCTTTGTACGTGAGGCATGAGCTCCAAGTCTGATGTTTTGGGCACTAATAGCAAATGAGAGGAGAGAAAGTTCGTTCAACCCCCACAAAGCTTTTGGATTGCCACCGGGTCCAACATCACTTATTTGGGAAACTCAACAATGAAACATTAAGCACATTAAACAGCATGCATAAACATGCATAAACTACATGATTTAAATTTCAACATCACGCCCAAGGCACACATGCCTCCCCATCGCTTCTAAATCTGGAATTGACCCGGTCACCCGAGTTGCCACCCGGTCACCCGAGTTTTCCGGGTGAAAGTCTCCTATAATGATATATTTTTTTCCCTCGCGCGTGTCAACATGCCAAGCCCTATTGTGGCATCTATGGCCTCCTACACCTTCCAAAGACCCCCGGAGAGCCCCCCAAGGTGCATGTCTTTTGATGTCACATGGAGAGAATCGGCCAGTCAGCTGCCCAAAGAAGACCGTTGGGTCTCAAAACTCCAGGCCATCCGCCGGACGCGCGGGTTGTACATGGTTGTACCATGTTGTACCTATCGTGTCGGTCGTCCTTGGAACACCTCGACACATGTCTCTGATGTTCCTTTGTTCGATCTTTTTCGCCATCTTGGACATCCAAGAGTCCGCGGGGAGGATGTGCGGAAATCGACGACCGATGATCTCGACCAGCACGGTCTCACCTGCAAACAGCACCAGAACATTCCCAAGTTGAGACAACACCAACGCTGACCTCGCCACGCCTGCGACCCCGACTTTGGGATAGAAATCCAGGATCTGCGGCGCAAGGCTAGGGTCCTCGGGCCAACAACAACGCAGCCTGTGTCACCCTGTGTCACTCCGCTCTGATCCAGCTTGGAGGTCCCAAAAGGTCCGGTCTCACATCGGCGGGGGGCGCTCTCTCCAAGCAGCGGAATAGTCTGGCAGAAGGCAACGGGGCACGATCACTTCGCCAGTGGGCCATTGCTGCGAAACCTCCCTGGGCGTGGGAGGGCGCGTGTGGCCGTCCCGTTCAAGTCACACCCTTTTGAAATTCACCTCTGGATGATCAAATAGTGTCGGTTTTCAACTCGCAATACCTGTGACTCCTCGCAGAACCGGAGTCATGGCTGCGAGAAGAATCCTGGCTGCGAATCCTCAGGGTGCACCTCCTCAACGAATAAAACATGCACCGAGGTGCACGGTCGCATCGGAGTCATCACCGCTACCAGGTAAAGGGCAGCTGAAACCACTGGTGCCTGGGCGTGGCTAACCGGACGAAGGTCCTACAGGTCGGCCCGGGTGGGCCTAGTTTTTCCACACCATCCGCTGAACGCATTAGCTGAGTTCAGCTCTCAACATGGTGAGAGCAGCCGTGAGTCAACGAAAAGTGCCATTCTCAGCCAAGTGAAGTAAACATCCCCACATAGATTGGATGGTCCTCTGGTTGCAGTCTTAGTTGCACAAAGATTGCAAAGTCCATGAAAAAGAAACACGTGTTTCCTAGCTGCTCTGGTCACCCACATCTCACCCGACACAGAGTGACTGGCGGCTTCAGGACACCTGGCGATCCTTTTGGCGGGTCAAAGTCTGGAGAAGACAAGCGAGTCACTTTCCTCCAAAAATAGATGGAACATCGTTGATGCTGTGGTCTTCAAAGGGCATGGAGACTGGGAAACTATGGGAAGCCCAATGCTGCAGTCTTCCCTTTTGCTGGCATGCCTTGTCTCTCACTCGGGTCCTCTGACGGTTGCCCAAGCTGCCTCTCTTGGTCGCTCACAAGATCTCATGTCATAACACGTTATGAACCCAAACTAAAACTATGAACCAAAACCAGCTTTGGTCGCTTAGGAACCTTACTATGAACCCAAACTGCAATCGCGTACGACCAACATCGGCGTGTTGTACAATGCACCTTGTACTTCGGTCCTACGAATGGGGTGACCTGGCCCTTTCAGGGTGCCAGGGCCAAAAAGGCATTGCCTCAAGTGGTCACCATCATTGGCAGAATCAAGATGCTTCTGCCTGTTTCTGCTGTGCATAACGACGGAGAAGGTGATATAGACCATCGTTCGGGCATCACTTCCAAGACTGTGAGAAGCAGTCTAACCCATGAACATGATGGATTTTTGTGTGGAACCTCTGACAGAGGAAAACTGGTTGATTTCCAACTGCATTTCAACATTTCACGTAAACACCATCTCCCAGTGCCGCCCCATGCAACACTACGCACGTTCTCATGCTACACAACTCCCTACGCATGGCATAGCCGGTCTTCAGCTACAATTGGCCACCACAGCACAGCCGACTCGTAACCGGTGAAGTCAACCTCCTTGCAAACACCTGCACCCAAGCAACCGGCTGACTTTGTGGGCGCTGAAAAAAGGCACAAGACTTGAAAGGAGAAACCTGTGTTACAAAATATGTGAAATGTCAAACCATGAGACTGGAAGGAAAAACAACTTGCGATATCTTGGATCTAAAGCCAAAGGTTTCAAGCTTTCAGGGGCCAAAGGTGTGCAACGCCATCGAGGAAAAAAAAAAACACGCCTAAAATGTAGTCTAAGCCATTGGAAAAAATCAGCATGGCAAAGATCGTATGGAACTGAGCCATGGCAGCAGGTAGAAGGTGCCCCCAGAATGGCATCTGATCAAAGGCCTCGATCCGGAACCGAAAGTCATAGGCCACTCGAAGGCCTGGGATGAAGAAGGTCGGTCACGTCCGCCTCCCTTGTCCCCATATGCACCAGATGTGCTCCAAAATGCATGATACACCGTTTATACACCATTGATCACCCTTGCAGACTCACATACAAATTTTAGACTGGTCTTGTAGAGGAATGTTCTCTTCCCATGTTCCATGTTCAAGTATTTTCGGGTTCTATGGCAGCCTGCGAGGGTGTATATATGTCATGTGTACATCATCCACTTTGAGCGACCAATTCTTAAGAAACATGTTCTCCCCAAGAGACGCCAACACGTGGACTTCATCAGCTTCCGCTCGGAAGGCACCGCTCCAGCCGCTCCCGCCGTTTCAGGGTCTTCCGTCGATCCAGCCGAAGGGGCTCCCGGCACCGGCCTGTCTTTGGTCGACTGGACATCGGCCTGCTCAGTCGACAGTGTGCGTGACTTCTCTTTGGATGCTTTGCGCTTATTGAGCACAATGGTAGCAATGTCTTGAACCTCCTGCTCAGTCACCAGGTATGGCGCTGGAGAGATGTCCAGACCGGCCCGCCACATGGCATAGCTCATCAAGTCCTCCAAGATCTCGGCCAGAAGCATGCCTGCCATCAGGGTGACTTCTGGACCATCCCAGGCCCAGGGTGCTTCAATGCACAAACGCACCAGGAATAAAGCACCCATCGCGCCGAATCGCAGGTAGCCCATGCAATACCTTGCAGGAACTCCAAGACTTTGTCTTTTTCTCAACAAAAAAAGGCCACTCAAGCTTCGAAGCTTCATGACACTGTGACACTGTGTGAAACACTGTGTTACCCATCCTCTGCACAACCCTGACAAACGTTGCCCTTGATGTTGGACTTACAAAAATAACCCAACTAACCCTCAAATGGCTTTCACATGGCTCTGGACACATTGTGCCCAGGCAATGCTAACATCTGTCATGCAAATGCTACCAACAGGATTCGAGGAAGATTGAATTAGAGTTGTTGGTGATTGGTAATGATGATGACCCCAAGCGTAATGTAGACTCTTGATTAACAACACCCCATATGAAGAGGTTGCTCAATCCAATCCAAACTATCACGAAGGGGGCATTTCTCCGAGACCGATTTTACCTAATGCTTCGCAGACATATCAATATATTCATCGCATGCTTAAAAATATGCCTCATGATCCACCGTTTCATAACGAGATTGAAATTCCTCCGCTACCAGAAAATTTGACTACACCGGCGTGGCCGGCTCTCCCGGAGATACCGTCCGACAAGCAGGAGGCATTTGTCCAGCATGTCCGCTACGCATTATTTCGCAAGAAAAACTTTGACACAATCGTGCATCCGACGAGCCCCTGAATTAGTTGCCAATTTGGTGCCCGAGGTGCGGTGACTTGGAAAGACTAGCTTGTTTTCGTTTGTCCGTCGCCTTGCTTGCCTTTCGGTTTCACGTTCGTTCTTTTGTACATACTATCCATGGTCACTTTTTCACCCACCAACTCCACCAAGGCCCGTCATAATATGTGACAAGGGCGTGTGTGGAAGCGTACGTTTTGTCCGCAAGTGTGTGCATCCAATCCGGGGGATTATTAATCAAGAGCTTACTTTACATACCCACCTTTTGTGAATGGGATGGAATGGGACAATTTGACTGAAGTGGGGCAAAAAAGGTGCCTTTCACGCGGCAAAAACCCGTCCGTGCCTCGGGTTGCTTGAGTTGAGTCTAGTGTTTCTGATCGAATCTTGGAAAAGATCCTCCTCGATCGCCAAGTGACCCAGATTCTCGCAGCAGCTTGCTACCGTTGTTGGGCTTTCGCCAACCACACGTGATGATGTGCAACACACGGTCTAGTGTCCCAAAGCGTGCCAACACATTCCAAAGAACTCCGGTAAGAATCGGAACTACAATGCTCCAGTCCTACTGGCAGGGTCCAATTGAAAACATTGGACAACGTCTGCACCCTACACTTCCTCCCATGTCTTCTCCACATCTTGCTCCCGTCCTGGTTCTCCAAGTAGTCCACATAAAGGAACGTCAGCCGAGCTCCCTCCGCCATCGCATGCAGGTTGCAAATGGCAATCGAGACCACCAGCCCCTGATTGGTACCAGCATACCCTTGACGCACTTCCCACTGCGTGACGTACTCCTGCCGTTCGTTTCGGTGGCGTGCTGTTCAAACGGGCGCATTCTTAAAGAACTGCAGGAGAAGAAGCTGCACAAAAAAACGCAATCAATTAGAACGGAGTGGTTGAAGGGCCCCCCGAACACAGCCTATTGATCCTTTCATATTCTGTAGCCAATTGATCTTTCACATGTCACCCCGGCAGGCCCAATCTGCCGACCCTTTCGGTCGCCCAAGGTCCTTGGTAAAAAACTTGGAAACCAAAGAAGTCCCGAGCAGCTCGTATGTACTCAGCAAGGGTGGCATCAAAAATCCCAGCCAAGGACCAGAAAGTCTGCGCAAAAGGATGTAACTAGACACCTTTGTTGATGATCTGGCTTGATCCAACTGGAAATCTCAAACCACACTGCGTAAGGGAACTTGACACTATTTGATTTCTGGGCCTGTTCTGTGACATGTGGGGGTGGGTGGCAACAAATTAAATAAAGCACTTCAGTTGCTTCCAGCCGCCATGACAAGGAAGCCGATGATTGGGAACAAGATTGTAGCAGGGCCAATCCTAAACGCATAGCGCCGGCTGACTGTCGGCGGTGCAAGCAGCAGGGTAAAAAATATGCCCACAGGCATCATGAGAACATTTCCTAGGGCATAGATCGGGATGAAACCAAAATGTCCAAGGTTTTCCTCCCCAATGCTAATGCAAATCACCTCAGGTTGGCAGCGATTGTGTTCCTTTTGAACGTTGAGCGTTCACAGAAAACTGAACCCTACACAGAAAAACAGCAAATAAAGGGCCCACCCTTTTGGACAACAAAACCACAATGGTGCTAGATAAGTGCTTCAAGTGAACCAGAGCGTAAACCAGAATCCAGCATGCATGCGTGGCATACGGCAGCAAGGTAGCTCGCTTCTGGCATCGAGCAGGACGCTCTGACAAACCCACTTCACTCAAGCTCTCCCCAGGCTCGAGTGCCCAAAGGACAAAGTTTCGCGTGAAAGGCACGGCAATGAGGTGAATGGGAATGTAGAACCTGCAGGTTCTGCGAAGGGGCTCTTGGCCTTACTACTAGAAACAAGAAGCTACATGAAGCTACTAGGGGCTCCTGGCATCGCTACTAGGAACAAGGTCCGCTACGAACATAGCATTTCATTTCGGACATCGCTCACGAACGGAGCGATCGGACGACGAACAGGGCTCGACCCACTCGGCTCGAACCAGGCGTCGGTGCAGAGATGTGGGGAAGACGTGCCACCATTGGGACTTGGGACCGCGAGCCCCGAGCTTCGGGGGTCAACGGGTGGGCCGTCGCATGATCCTGGCTGGGCGAGGCGGCTGGGATTCCCAGGTCTTCATTGGGTCAGCTGCTTTCTTCTCAAGAAAGGTGCTGTGATTGACGGTAGGACGTTCCCCTGGAAAAAAAGTACCGTGCAAAATACTTTGTGAGCATATGTGATCATATCATATAATTGTAGAGAGTATCTTGTATATACAACATATATAATACATAACAATTAACAATACCATATGCTGTATAATATGCAGTGGATATATTAGTCACATACAAGTGCGTGCACATGCGTGTACAAAATGATATCAAAGTTGATTCCTCTCTCTTCATCTTGTGTGCAACCAGGAGCCCCAGGTGGGGAAACGAGGAGGAGCTTAAAAAAATGGTGGTTTGGAGCCTTTGTCTTCTTCAACTGTTTGTGCTGCTGTGTTTTTCTCCTCTTTCGTTGTAACATTGGTTTTGCATTCCCTGCACCCATGTCCCATGCCTTGTGCAAATGTGTACATATCCAAACACACTACGTGAAGCTTTCGTCCTCAGTCATGGAAACCAATGTTCCAAGTGTGTCTTGAGTCATGTTTGTGCCTCTGAGAGTCGAGCCATGCCGGGCTCCCTATAGAATTCGATCCTTCCGATGGTTCCGGCATGGTTTTAAATTCCTACCCTTCATGACCAGTATGTACCGTCCAAGAAGCAAGAAGGCCCATCCAACCACGCGCAGTACCAAAGTGATCCATGGCCATTTTGGAAGGCCTAAGAGGCCCACTTCCGCTGCACTGAGCGCCAATAAGCCGATGAATATAAAGCAACTCATGAGCAACGAGGAGAAGAAGGTGTGTCGAGGCGTTGGAAGGCAAAGCCTCGCTTCCCCCACGCCTCGGTATCGAACTGCCTCCCGAGAACGAGTTCGTCGAGGTTGAACAAGCCTCGGTTTCTACTAGCGGCCTCCAACCTACGAGCGATGGCCTACCGCCATAGAAGAGTCCGGGTGGGGTGTTCAGGGGTGGGAACGCTGAAAGTGGCCTGTGCTGCATGAGAAAGCATTGTCATTGGATGTGTATTGCTCTTGCCCAAGATCGCGTGTTGACCGATCTTGTGGGTTGCATGCTGCCTTTTTGGGTGTAAACGCCGTCAGAAGTGGCAACCGCTACATTTACGGATTATAGAACACAGCTCGGCACCATATGTATAAGATTGAAACCCAAACCAAAGGCGCTGGGGACAAACACAGCCTCAGAAACAACAAATGAGACACATGCGGTTGCAAGACCATCAAAATCCATAGCAGGAACATTGAACAAGGAGATTCATTCAGAATCTGTTATCCATAAAACATATATAATATACTGACGCTATTGACGGATAAATACGCATATTGTATACATATGCAAAAATAATCAACAATATATATATATATAAATATACAGCTGATCGAGCCCTGCTATATGTATTTTTTGTTTTTTAATGAATTAACTCACATTCCCGGTTAAAAAAGAAGAAGTCTGACTACCTGGTTGGACTGGACTTCCAACGACTTCTTGACCAGTACTGCTGGCACGTATGTCTGAGTCACCGTCCACCACCCCTTTGCAGGCTTCTTCAATGCTGCATCTTCCAGTAGTCCGGACTGTAGCTTTGGATTTGGACCGGAGGGCCCTGAAAATGGCGGCTGCGCGGGAACCTGCATTCGCGTGCCGGTTCGCGCGAAGCTACTCGAGTTCGTCAAAGGCCCCGAAGAGTCGGTGCTTTGCGGCAAGACATTGACTAGAGGGAAATTGGGTTTTCATGCTTGGAAAGCAGCACCTGCCATCCTTGTAGAGAACCACGAGGAGTTCCGGAATTCTTGACATACCTTCGGGATCGGCACCATGGCCGCCTTTTCCCCCCGCCTGGTGTGGAGTTTTGTGCGGGTGTGTAGTTGTTCTTCAGCTTCACCCAAAGCTTTTTGCCTGAACGATCATTCCTCTCAGGCAAGAAGTCGGGACTACCTGTCGGGATCACTGAACCAATCGCCGGCGGTTGGATCTTTTCGCTGTGAGACATGAAAGGGGTGATCTCCTAAGGAGGGTCACTTGAGCCAAATCTGGCGAGTTCGAAACCCACAAAAACTGGAAGTCGAGTCAGCACACTGCATACATTCCGAATGGCCGCCGGATCGCCAGGTTCCACTGGCAAAAGTATGACATGCAGCTTGCCGCATGAAAACCTGAGGTCTCGGCTGTAGTATTGCGCAAGTTCTTGGCCAAGGACCAAGCCGCTCAAGCCTTGGGGGACTGAAGAAAACTAGGAATGACACTAGCACACAAAGTCACGGGGACATATCATGTCAGGGCCAATTCATCATTCATCTTGATAAACTATGCTTAACTACTTGCTCAACAATATCATAACACAAGTAAAAATCTGAGTGTGGCATCATATGGCATCATGCTAAATGTTTGGTACCATGAAGCATGCCAGGCACCAGTGTAGCCATGCCATGCGTCACGAGCGGAACATGGCGGATGACCAACCAAACGGCAGGAATCTTTGAGATTCCTAAGCCTTAAAAGCACTAATACACACCATGCTAGGCTTGGGAAAGCTTGGTCAAGGGGCAAGGGATATCTTGAACGCAGGGATCTTTGACCTTTGAGTCTTACGTTGCCACTTGTTGTGAGGGCAATTGACCCTGCATAACTGCTGAAACTGCTGCTCATTCCCTTCATGTAGGGAACAGAACTAGGCATCGAGGCCTGCCTCTAAGGGCTAAAAGCTATTGTGTTCTGCGTGCCACGCCGAAAGCATCCATGTGTCGCCCGCGTGGTGCTTTTCCACCTCTTTTTGGACGCATTGATGCCTCGTTCTTTCCCCGAAAGAACGCTGTTGCGTTTTCGTTGTTTCTTGACTTCGTGAACAGTGCAAGAAAAGTGAAAAAACACTGTTGTTAAGTGTTCACGATGACTTCCTTTCCGGTCTCATCAATTCAACCATCTAAGTTGAAGTTTTCAAGTTCCAACCCATGATAGATTCTTCATAATCATTCTTCCATCACCTGTGTACCATCCGCACAGTCTACAGTCCTTTTCATACTCAAGCGGATGGGAGGGCAGTTGTGCGCCCACAACTGACTGGCCCGACTGTCGGCCAGCCACTCTGAGCTCCGCAGAGCTTTTGCCGCATGGCGCACGGGTGCACATCTGCAATGCTATTCCGTGTGAAGTGGAACACTTGCCCATAGTCCTGCATATTCTCCACACACTTGGCAGTGGGTCGTGTGACCTCACACCTCCCCCAAACACTGAACTCTTCCGTTCATTTGGAGTGGTTGACTGGCAAGGTCCCCCGGTTTTGACTCACACCCACTGGGTACACTTGACAAGCAGCATGTCGGGTCCGTCCACGGTTCGTCCACGGGTCGGAATGTGCGAGCCAGTCGGCATCTATTATGATATACCCCGTGGCAAACATAGGAAAACTCACATAGACCGTGAAAACCACTAGGCTTGTAGAGGAAAACAGCCTTTCCGGGTCCCATTCTCAGGGTGCATGTTAGTTTTTGGAAGTGTAAGCTATTGAGTTGTGTCCGGTGCGGCTGATTCAGCCGGGCCGTCAAGCAGCTTGCGCCCGCCATGGTTTTCGCTGGAATGGGCGCCCGCCACAGAAGGGAAGTGATCCTCTCAATCTCCAAGCCAGCCGAACAAAATTCTCCAAGTCGAACACGAACAGCAACCCGAGAGTCCTACATCATCACGTCACAACTGGTGACTGATGCATCCACCTTCTGAGACTCTGCCCTCACACCTTTGAGCGTGATGCACCTGAGGAGCGATTTGGCTGAAGGATCTGAGTCACTGAGATGACAACTTGGACATCAGTGATTCTGAAAACACCACTCACTCACACGGACGTAGAGTCATGGGCTCCAAACGAACTCTGCATCGGCACGACCGCCGGGGTGGTCAAGGGATTCCACTCAGTGACATGGAAGTGGACAACAAGTTTCTGGAGGATCGAGGACAATGTTGCCAAAGGAACAAGAACATCTTAAAAGGAGAGTATGTCCATCATGTTCCTGCCTTAACCAATATCAACCACTCCACCCGTCATTCTGACGACTGCAGCTTGCGTTCTTGGCATTCCCAGCTATCTCATGGCTCCCGCAAAAGTCAAACAATGACCCGGTGCAAAAAAAGCCAGCGGTGGGTATACTGACCAGTGGCGGATAAAGGGTAATTACTATGCCCCACTATCACGATCCTTTACTCACACTCCCTCAACTCCCACTTGCGCCCGACTAAATACAAGAATCCCATCTTTCGCCCCATCCAGCGCACCTGGACCGGCGCCTGCAAAGGTCAGGCCGGAGTCCAAATCCACCCTCCCTATGGCCAAACGCTTGCATTGCCTTAAATGGAAGTGTATCAAAGGAAGAAGGCTCCCTCAACGGTGTCATCGTCAACAAGTTGGAATGTGCCAACATTTTTGGGAGGTCTGCCGTACCAGTCAGGTCTCGAATTCTTAAACGGCCAATTATTTTTCTCCACGGTTCCTCAAATGGATTCTGGTGCAAAACATGAACCACGTCTGGAATGCGGTTTGGCTGGAAACGGAACCGTTAGACCTGACTGCAAAGCCATGCAAAGAAGTCATTTTACAAGAGCAAAAATTGCCCAATTTCATTTGGTACATCTATATACTACAGTGGAACATATGTATAACAAATACGTTAATGTAGAATCTCGATGAATACACTGCCCCCCCATATATATACACTCACTTGGCCTTGACCAGTTGTATGCGCGAGTGGTGTGAAAGAGGTTTTACAATCCAAATGTGGGGAGTTTCTTTTCTAGCTCGGACATTTTCACTCACGACATCCACCAGTACCCGTCACACAATGTGACAAGGGATTGAGTGGACGCGGACATCGACCGCAAGTGCGTGCATCCAAATGTGAATCGAGAGTCTACATTACTATGCACAAAGCCTGTGTATATGTTGAGGCGCTTTCGGCAGCCGTGTTTTTTTGGAATCACTGCCCACAAGTCCCGGTCATGAAGCAGCGGCAGTGCTTGTGCCGCAAAAACAAGACCTCCCCGACACCACACCACACCTCCCAGCTTGTATACAGTATGCTTGTACCAGTTAACATGGGTGGAGAATGAAAGCTACTCGCAACAAATGGTATCGGCAAAGGTACTTGCATGAATGTACTTGCCTCAAAGGGCATTATATATATATATCCATTCCCGAGCTACTGCTTCAAGCATGGACCTACAATACAGTAGTTCTTTTCACTGTTGCGACTTGAGAAAGGCAAGTCTGGCAATCAAATTAGCACTCAACTTTGTAAAGCCACACACGCGCAAACACACAGACACATAATAGTACTATATATCCATATATGGATACGCAAGTCAAAACATCGTTAACTAAATACACATAGACATACAATGCCATACATATGTATCTATATATGGTTGTTTTACATGTATGCAGCATTGTTCTGCCTCTTCTGCTTTTGGCTGCTTTGTGGGCCAAAGCGCCTCAGGACCATTAGACTGAACCCCTTGACAAAAATTGGAAGAGGCAAAGCAACATCGACAAAGAGGAAGGAAGTTCACCTGAGGTGACGGAAACACATTGCTGTTCCTGTGAGAAGCACTCACGCTCAGGTGCTTGCAAGGGGTTGGCCCTCTTCTGCTGCCACAAGTGCTCCTGACCGCGACCCGAACACAATCGAAGGCAAACCTGCTCTCGCAACGGTCTAGAAATTTAGAGGCTCTCTCTGCATGGACTTGTATCAAGCATTTGCACTACTTTACTTAGGTCTACTGGGGTGTTCTTCATGCGAAGCCGAGGACGTGCAGCCAACGGTTGTCCGTGTCTTCTGGTGCCGGGCAAGGGTTAGAAGCACGCGACTAAACTTATTGGTAACTCCAAGCCAAGTATAACGGTTCCGCATCTTTATCTAACGGGCAGTCCAAATGCTTCATCAGTCAAAGGCAATGAGGTAATATGACATAAAAATGCATCCCTTTAACCCCTAGCCAGTCCAAAGCTTCTCGAGTCGCGCCTTGGTGCAGGAATTAGCTGACGATGTGGGACAAAAGGAGGTGATCCAAGATCTGACTTCCAGTCACTACTCTACCTATATATACATCTTGTAATTGTTGTATATGATATAAGTATACATAATGAATAGAGCCAAAGAAAAAGGAACACTACAGCACCATGGCGCGCATACTGCAATCCTCCTCCAAAAGATGTGTCTTATGAACTGTCACCACAGGAATTGAGTGCCTGGTGCCCAAGCATCTTCAACTGAAAAACCAACAGTTGAGATATTGAGGGTTGTGCCTAACGGTTACAGTATGCTGCTGTTTGTCCAGCCACATTCCGCTCCCAAGGCTAGAACGGTCGGCACGCCCAAATGATGCCTACAGCGAGCATCTCTTCACTCGTGATGTGGGCCTTTAGAAACGTTCAACATCTCCAACCTAATGGCATTGGCCTCCAACCTACTAGCGATGACCTCCAACCTACTAGCGATGGCCTCCACCCTAGTAGCGATGGCCTCCAACCTAATATACAGCGATGGCTCATGAATGAAAAAATGAAACTGAGACCTGGATGGTCTGTGTGTTCTTGTCAGGCGGCTCAAACATGTAGTTATTGAGGGGAATGTGTTTCTGAACAGTGCAGTTCTGTGTGTGTTGGTGCTTTCTGTTGGAGATGTTCAGGTGTTTACTTGCGCTTTGATCTTTCCCATAAGCGTCTTGATCTTGTCCCACTCGACTGCTTCAGGACTAGCGAATAGCGATGACGCACGCTTAGACTGCCTGGCCTGGAAGGGAGAGTCTCAGGCCTTGATTTATTGAGGCTGTGACCACCATGGTGAACACCAGTCTAAGGGCGTGGAGGAACCAAAAAAAACAGGGCTTTGCTGCTGCAGTTGCTTCCCTTCCGCCACTTCTTTTCTCCGCTGCTGTCCATCCACCCACGTCGCCAGACATGCGAAACCCGAAGACGTCATGAAAAACCTCATGTCTTCACTCCGAAAACGTCCGTTCCGAGTTCGCCATTCGGTCCGCCAACGCAACGCCAACGCCCTCGCTGGGCGCGTCCACGTCCGTTCGGTGCCTCGGCTCGCAAGAGCTGCGCCGCGCTCCAGTCTTTCAACGCCAGTGGCAGGTTCCGGCGCGCGGGGGTCGCCACCTCGCGGCCGTGCCTCGGTGATGTGGGTTGCCGTTTGGAAGAACATCCCGTCCAGGTGCCCTGGAATTGCTTCAGAATGCATTTGGGCAGAATGTATTGCTAAGAACATCCCAACACATTTGGGCAGTTGAGTTTTTTTCCAAACATATACTGAAATGTGGTGATGTGATGAAGAAGTCTGCGTGTCGGCTCCGTTGGGACCCTGGGAGTGCTGCATTGCATTTGAATTCCATCCAGTGCTGGCGCTGTGCCGTTCCCAGACTCCGACCCCACTTTGACCCGCGTCTTGAAATAGAAGCGGCTGGCACATCCTCAGCCCCGGATCATCTCACGTTTCTTCACGGTGACTGAAAGGAAGGTCTGACGGTCGCAGCTTGCCCAAGCAGCTTGCCATTGTTTCTGTGTGTACAACATGAACCATGGGTCACCACACCACCACATGCACCATGGCTGAGATCCTCGCCGTCTTGCATGACTGCTGACAACGATGCGAGCATCTTCTCCGTGGTCATTGCTTCCTCAAGGTTCAGGCCAACAAGCTTAGATTGAGCGTGCTGCAATCCTGAAGACAAACGTATACCCCTGCTATTGTAAAGGGGGGTATGTTCAATGGTTACTTATATATACACGTTAGTCTTCCGGGACGTAGCTACATGATGCTACATGTTTGTTGGGCAGTTCAGGAGCAAATCCCAAAACTATGGCGCTTGGTGGGGAGACTTTGCCCGGCAAAAGCAATGCTTGTGTGACATGCTTGACTTCTTCTAGCCTTGCTGCAACTTCTCCGTCCCAAATCACTAACCCAGTCCTCTGCCGCCGCCCGCATGGCCAGCAAAATGCCCAACCTAAGAAAATAGGTGCCTCCTGCTTGCACTACTAAAGAGCCAACCCAGGTCACAGAAACACCCTTGCAAATGGCAATCTCAGGCTTCCAACATGCGGATGGCACAGGCCAAATCAAAGGTGAAGGCAGCCTGGCTAGATCTGGGCAAGCCGAGAAATGCTTCCAGGCAGCACACCAACTTTGTTGACTGGCCTTGGAGGGTTTTCCGGCTTAACCAAGTTGCATTGCCACAGGTACAGCATGCTACAGCCAGACTGCAAATGATACCACGATATACCACGCATTCTTGGCCGTCTTTGAGCGCTGAGGAGCTGAAACGTCCGTCAAAAAGATTCAGCTTGGAAGAGAACTTCCCCCCACAAAGAATATCGGAACTTCCCGCCACTGAAGTTCAGCATGGGGTCTGAAAACCAGCCGCCGGAAAACCACTCATACGACCGGTCCTTATTGTATTCTACGTGTCTCGACTGCGTGGTGTCGTTTCCGGCCACCTGTGCATAGAGACTGTCATGCAAATGTAGGATCGGGCGATAGCCAACCTGACTCGTTTCGCGATCACGGCGATACGGACACCGGCACCGGACCGGGTGGAAGCGGGGGATGTGTTGGTGTCGATTGTCAATTGATGTTTAAAAATAACAGGCCGGCTACTTAAAGATCTTAAATATGAAATCCCGCGATCGGCACCTTGATGATCTATGCATATACTCTATAGATCTCTATAGATATTCGTTAATGTTCGTTCTCTGCCCGTGCGACCTCCGTGCAACTTCTGCCATCCATGCGACCTCCGCGCTGTTTTCGCTGTTTTTCTTTCGCAGCATTTGGCTCGCCTTCTTCGCTCACGGATGATGGACAGGATATGGTCTCAATGTTTGAATCAGAACGAGTCAGCACCAGGTCAACCCATCACCAGCCACTCCAAACCGCGACGCGGTCCCGGGTCCCACCTTTCGGCCCTTCCAGCGGCAAAGGCTTCGAGTGGAGAAGCCCGTGGGCAAACTCGCACCTGGCCCAGTGGGGAGGCGAACACCAAGGAAGACGTGTGCAGAAGTGCGGTGTGGGCATGTGTGGGCCTCGGGAGTCTCTCTCGCGTGTGACCCGAAAAAGGCCCGAAATCGGCAGGTGTGCTTGGTGTCAAAAATTGTGAACAGCCAGTCAGCCAGGTGTGGAACTGATCGAGTTTGAAAGACCACATAGTGATAGTTCAGCTTGGTGCCCAAAGACGCTCCATGGCGCCATCAGGGATCATCAGCTATGTTCGTGAGAGTGTTCGTGAGCATATTGATGGATACGTCGTGAGCTATCCATCTGGCCTTGTCGAGTGCGTTCAGCCAGGATCCATTGCTCCAGCTCTTGCCTCTCTTCCTGGCCAATGGCCACGTTCCCCGGTGCGGTTGCCACGGTCGAACTCGGTTCGGTGAACAACCGGCAGAAGCGGTTTCCAGAGTGCAGTTTAAAAGGGAAGAAGCAGCTGGAAATGGGAAGAAGCAGCTGGTGGGTGAGGCAGTTGCAGTTGGATGAAGTTGGGAAGGACAGTTGCAGTTGCGCACTGGAAAAGGGCTGCGCAAGGGCAGTTCAGTTGTCAGTATTGGAGAGTCCTCTATGCACAGTGAGGGCTGGGCCCAGAAACGTTGTCAAAATGCACAGGTGATTTCATCCAACCTCGCAAGCACTCCTTTTTACAGTAAATATACATCTTTTCCGGTGTTAGGTCGTCTTAAGCCTTATGTCGTCTTGGTCCTATGTGTTTTGGGTTAAAAGTCAGGAAGCCTCCCTCTTGTCGGGTTTTCGGGTTCAGCCAACCCCTTCGAGCTCGAAACACGAGCTGTGTCCGATTAAGAGTAGGAGACCCCACAGGGGTCCTTCCGCCTGTACCCAAAAGGGAAAGGATCGAGTAAATAGGGCCGCAGGTTTGGCTTGAGCTATAAATTTAAACAAAGCTGTTTGACTGAAACCATTAATGATTAATGTCTGATCACCTTCCCTGCCGTATCACCTTGAATCACCGGCATTCATCAACTCAATGTATTCTGATGGCACTTGGCAGCTACCAACACTACCTGTTCACCGACTGGACCACCATGTTCACTCGGGAAAATCAATGACAAACCATTGGTCGCAAAGCGTCCAGGATCCCTTCCTGAGTTGAACCTGTGTGTTTGTGCGCGTGCGAAGATAACTAATTGCTGAAAGCCGTCAATCAATTAAAGGAAAACCACTTGAACTCCTAGATTAGCAACTTGCCTGCTTTAACACCACAGCACGCTGAAATTTGCGTTGAAGTGATGATTCCATCCAACTCCCCAAATCTCTAGCGTTTCATCATCCAAAGATACTGTTCTTCATCGTAGGCCCTTTTTCAGAGGCAGGGTGTCCCTGGCCCTCATGAGGCACTCCCCACCTCCGGCTCCACATCCCACCTCGCTCAGGCGCTCCACGATGAAGCGCCGCCGCTCCATAGGCCTCGTGTCGCACCCCGCGTTTCGAGCGATTCGTCAAGTTGAAGAGTCCGACATCGCCCATCTCACCGGTCACACTCCGACGAAATGGGTGCAATGGGTCCTTGGATGGCCATCTGTTCCAGCTGGTGGTTTTCCACTTCTGAGCCGGAGTCGGAGGGTAACCCTCTTAGTTGGTAATACATGTCCGACCTGATCTCTTAACCTCTCATGACTGAAGGCACACTGATCACAAACGGTCTTAGGAACGTTTTTGGTGGGAAAGCAGCTAACACGTCAGGAAACATCATGAAATGTGTGGTTTTCTCGATGTCTTTCGCTGGTGCAACATCTGGTCCACCAACCAATGGGAAACTGCATCAGTGGAGATTGGCCCGCCCTCCTCCAGAAGCAGGACTCACGGTGGTTGGCTTGCACATGCATTTTTGGGAGCACCATGGTGCCTTGGCACTGGCCTCTGCAGCCAGTCACTGGCTGCTCTGAGAATCAAGTCAAGCACCGAAAACTGCAGCCACGGGCCATGTCTGTTCACCCAAAACGACGTCGGCCAGTGGGGACCGTGTCCTCTCACCGCTGCCCAGGGACGAGAGGTGCCGAAGCAAGCGCCACAAACGGCTCAAGGCGAAGTGCCTGGGCTCGGGTCTCGTGTTTGGACCAACGACTATAAGAAACCTGCGGCAGTATATGCTCTGGCCGTCAAAAGTCGTCAACAGATCTTCTTGGCATGTCCTTCCCACACCAGGAGCAGCTGAAGGTGCAGTTCTATCTGCAAGTCTCCCAAAAACTGCACACCATTTATGAAATTAATAGGCAAATGATCCGTAGCCATCTTGGCTACGCTGTGGGAGGATCGCAGGACGTGCGGCCCGATCAGTCAGCGATAATAGGCAAATGACAAACCACAATCCTCATCCCCTTATAATCGCGGGGATGTGGAACAACACCGCTTCCTCCTACCGTTCTTCCGCATCGATCACGGAAGCGCAGGAACCGGAAGCGACTCGGGTCGTCAAGAGACGTCGTCCAACCCGCCATGCCCTTTCAATCTGAGAGTGCGGCCGCTTCGGCCGCTGTCTGGGTAGGGGGCCGAGGGATGCTTTTGTTGGCTTCTGGATCTCTTGGTGCAATTTAGGACAAAATCTGCAGCATCTGAAGCAGTTGATGGCAATACTGTATACTCTATATATATATATATATTATCATGCGGCTTGTGCGCAGCTACTTCTGTCAGGCACGTTTGGCAGTGTCTCAGTTCGGGTTGTACCCTTCTGAACACGTACTGTACTTGTTTTGGCCGACCCAACAGATCTGCGACATATATATATATATATATAGCTGCGTGAACTATGTATTACTAATTATATAAGTGATTTCCTTTGGGTCAATATGATCAGCAAGCAACCCGCGTGACAAATTCCGGGAGGAGTGCCTACCCGAGGCTTTCCGAGTAAAGCTCTCCCTTCGTGTGACTGCGCGCACCTCTGGAGGCACACAGTGGCCACCGCCTGTCCCACTTGCAACATGGACAAGACAACTTCACGCAATGTGTGACACACCATCAGTCACTCTTGCCGGAAAGGCAGAAATGAGCAATGCGGTATATAACTTGCTTGTTTGACCATACATTGAATGTCACATATTTCACAAGTGGTGCCGGCATCATATAACAGGTGGCAGCTTCTGGATGCTAATGTTATGTTACCTATCGTTACGTATAAGCTAAGGCAGCTAAGTTCTAGAACTGTCCATTTCCTGTATGACATGCAGCATCAGATTCAAGCACCAGGAGCCACTCTGCTGACCGAACATCAACCCTCACCAAATCGCTTGAAAGGCACCTCAGGTCGTCCAGGCCCACTTGTTGAATCATTGAATGAGGATTAGACTTTGGATAAACATGGCCGACCCAAACGGCAATTTGACATGGACACGACCTGAACCTGGCGTGCTGTGCGTGAGCTCTTCTCACCCCCGCCTTTGGCTTCAATTGTAGGAGGAAGTCTGCAGCCTGGGTGGGTGAACACCGACCGGATCGGTTCCCAAGCTGATCATTCTCTTGTTCAAGAACCAAGTCCTACACAATGACTGTTGCGGGCGGCTGTTGCAGACCAAAAAAGGAGATCCTCCAAATGTCTCTCACACCAGAAGTATCCAAAAGTGACATATCCGACAGGTTGATGCATCATTGCGGGAGTCTAGGCAAATTTGTACGCAGCAATCTGATGTTCTTGTAACAGGCTTCAATGTACATATGAAGAACTGAGGAATTTTCCACTTCTTGCTTCGACACCTTGCGTTCTTACATAATTTGTACTGATTATGGTTATATTCAGTATTGGCATCGACAGATTCGTTGTGGTAGACTTGCCGGCCACAAACCAGGTCTTCCCCCTCCGATCCTGGGACAAAACCCACACAACACCCATCTTGGCCAGGGGGCAGCGCTGCGAAAGGACTGCTCACAACCCTTGCGTGCAGCAGGGCTAGCTGTAGACACGAAGCACTCGAGTGCTCCTGAGGGGCTTCCGGGCTTCATGCCCAGAAACATGTGGTGCGTTAGTTGCACCCGCAGAACATGTATGCACATGCCAAAGAAATGACACCCTCAAGCTGAGGCTCTTGATTGGTACTTGATTCATGTGTAATTACGTGCCTTTGACCCAACAGCCTTGTGCACACAGGCATGTCATGGAATGCCACCACGCAGGCAGTTGTAGAGATTCTGGCTGTAGCATGCTGTAGCAATTTCCATCTAGAATCTATAGGGTGCAAATTGGAGCAAGAGGACAAGTGCACACCTCAATTGACCTCAAGCAACGTGATTTCCATGCCCCACAAGCTCCCACCAGGTGAAACGCATGGTTCCACCACCGACCAGGTGTCGGGGACGATCTTGATTGAGTGCAACCAAGCGGCCAAGCGAATGAATCATGAAATCGTGCTGACTGTACCACCAAGCCAACCAGACTGGTTTTACACGGTTGTACCTCTGCCTTTACCTCTTGCGGGGATGTCTTCTGTATCGGATCACATGAAGTTCTTTCGGTCGACAAAGCTGAACACAAACATCGACCCACTCCGTGGGCCCGCGAGCGGGCCCAGCTGTCACCACACCTGTGAAATCCATGATCTTCTCCTGCGGACGAGGTGGACCGGGTCCCGGCTGGCATGGTCCACCGGGTCGCGGCCCGATGTGGCCCAGCGGTGAGTAGCGAGCGAACCCCCGACGACGCTCCATGTATTGGAATAGATGCCGATCAGTTGGGGTGGTGCCAGGGGGGTCAATGTGACATATATTCCATAAATGGAGCGTCTGGGAACCAAACTGTATCAAACTGTTCTATCCCCCGTGAATGGGGTCACTTGCCGGGCATCGCGCCGCTTTGGAAGGAAGGGCAAAGATTTGCAGTGTACAATGCATGTGCACCCAGCACCCCTGCTGCACTCCACCTGCTGCACTAGATAGACATCCTCTTTTCCAGTCCCAACATAGCATATAACTTAATCAATATTTTGGATCCATATGGCTGCCCTGTATAGATTTTTGTTTCATGCCCCTTTGCGTGGAGGCCAAAAATAAAGTGGTTCCAGTTCTGTCACGCTCGCCTAACTATTTACCATGCGTAACCACGCATGACTTGCGCAAACTCGGTATGACTCTGTGATTCAGCTCCATCCCGATGCCTTTCTTCCCGGCCTGTCGTTCTTCGAGGGTCATTACTGTTGCCTGGGCAAGGGGTCGGTCGGCGCGCCGAACGCGCGAAACGACGGTAGCAGCCTGCACAACGGCGGTAGCATGATGTAGCATTGTGGTAGCAGCCTGGACTCGCAAGGACCTTGACGGCTCTGCTCTCTTTTTTCCTCTTCTGAGCGCTAATGACAGACCAACCATCCACCAGAAGCCTCGAAAACAGGACGACTCTGACGCTGTCCTCAAAAACAGCCCTATGACCAACCTCGGTGGCTTGCATTGAAAGAGCTTAACCCAAAGGCTTTGCCAAGCGAGGTGGGCCGGGTATGAGAGGTTACGGCCGCTTAAGGGACCAGCATCAAGAGTTTAGGTCTTGGTTCAGATGCCTATACCACCACTTGGGCCTCAGCCTTGGCCTTGCAGTTGTCACCCCCTTCATGGCAGTGCACTTGGTTGTTCTTCTCTGCCGCGGTGAAGGATCCTGGCACCGCCCAGGAGCACTGGTCTTCCAGCAGCAAGGCACCCTTCTGCACCCGGAAGTAGCCCATCTCACCCCAGTATTCACCCCATGAGTTGCGGACAATCCAGTACATCCCATCCTTGGAGTCGGTGCCCCAACCGACCACCGAGACTACATGATCCACTCCTTCACCCTTGGTCTTGATGATACCGGACTCGTAGTTCAAGAGTGGGTTCGCATCCACACCGCAACTGATGGGGCCACGATTGAAGATCTCCTTCATCATGGCATCGGCTCCACTGATGGAGCCATAGTCGGAGATGGTGGCATTGGGAAAAGCGGAAAGTCCAGTGCATGGACCTCCTTCTTGGGAGAAACTCCCACAAGTACGTGCCACATTCACAGCCTTGCAGGAGGTATCCACATGAGAGCAGAATCCTTCACTGGAATCGGAGGAGCAAGCCACATAGGGGTTCGAAGTCTCGTAGGCAATGCCAGTGCCCTTCTCAGACATCTGTTTCAACCACTGGTATGGGCCATCCACTGTGCCACCCTTGCAGCTGCCAACACCACCGCAGTTCAGCAAGTGCTGCACAGCCAAGTTGATGTCCACACCCTGCGCCTGGCGGGCAATCTTGATGCGATCGCCCAAGGCGCTGATGGCGCCATGAGCCCAGCAAGAGCCACCTGAGGATCGCGCGCGCAACGCACGGAACGCAGCAAGTTGGACTGGACCCAACTTAGTTGGAACAATTCAACAAGTGCTGGGCTGGCAACACGTGCATGCACTCGTGTTGCCAACCAGTTTGCGAATAGCAGCACTTAGCAGCACGACCCTGACAGCTATGCCAAGCTATTATGTGTATATATATATATATATTGTTTATTTATTAATTTACCAAACGGAATCCTTCATAATCGTTCCAAAGAACGGGGTACAATCCACTTCTGTTCAACCCAGTGTGAAGTGTGAGTGTTGGAAGCCACTACTTGAGGACTATTGTGGGATCGTGCTGAGTTTTTTGAACCATGAAATAATAGTGGTGTTGATGGAACCTCCCCGAAAGCATCAAGGCAACCGGTCGAAGAACAGTCGCTCCCTCTCTACCTCCCTTAGGCATTCACTGAGTATGCACTGTATACACACACATGCGCATGTATGTTACACAACTGCCCGGGCCCAATGACCCAATTGCCCTACATGGATCCATATTATACATATGACCACACGGCAGTTATACAAACATATATGCAATTAGTGGCATACGTGATGATGATGTCTATCGAGAGCCCAATGGGACACCCCCGAGAGTGCATCCATAAATGCTTCGACCTTCGCACGGAAACACTCAAAAGGTGCCACATCAAGGAGAAAGGCACAGTACTGAGGGATGTGCTGGTTGCGGGACATGGTGCAGTAGTTCTTCCCATCCTTATTGCACCAAGTGAAATCTGAAGGCATCTCAGTGGCCTCCAAAAGCTCATGGGAGCTCTGCTTGGAAGAATTCCCGCGCCAAATGACACCCAACTTCTCCGCCTCCTCGCGTGGCAGCAGCTCTGAGCGCCGAGCAGCCGCCAAGGAGAAGCCCAGGGCAGCGGAAACCAAGAACTTCATCTTGAAAGCAAAGTCTCAAGAAACACGTCTCCCTTTGTTGTGTTCAGAGCCAAAAGCAGCTGAAACATGGACACATGGATTCATATACATGACATGGTCCATGAGGCCCCCAGGCACTCCATAAGCAATGATCTTTGTTTGTTGCTTGAGCTCGGTTTCAGCACTCGCTGCCATCCAAAAGAAGCAAGGAACCCAAGAAAACCAGCACATGTGATGCCAAGTGACTGCTGCAGTTGTTGCTGCTGCTGTTGTTGTTGCTGCTGTTGTTGCTGGTGTTGTCGCACGTCACATTCCACGAGCATGGCGGCCACAGCGTACCTGGCAAACATTGAGCATGTCATGTCTAACAGCAGGCACCAGTCATGAGGCTGACTGCCACAAAAGATTCCATATACATCTACGGGCAGCTACTAGTAGTTGGGATTTTGTTGTGCATCTCTGTCTTACAAGGACAGCCAAACAGATCCCAATCCTTCTTTGGCATACCGAGCGGCCACAAACACAAGCCGGAAAACCGGACCATTTTGCAAAACGGTGGTGCCACCCAACCCACCAACTCCATCCATGCAATCAATGTCAATGTCCTTTGGCCATAATTCTTGTCTTCACTTGGTTCTGCTTGACTCTATTGCCTTGCCAAAGTGGGGAAATCTAAGAGCAACAACAAACATAAATCGTAACGATGCTCAAACTTGAGCTTCTGCAAGATTACACTAGTCACTACCAGGGGCCCTCAAAACCATGGAAAAATTGAGGGTTTTCACATACAAAAACCATGTTTTGCGCTAGGGAAAGCAAGGTTTTTGATGGTCTGTGGGGCCCCTGGTATGTATATATATATATAAACACTCTTATACAGTAAAGGGGGTATACCCGTGAAAGAAAATGAAAAATAATAGTCAGTCAAGGTTCAACATTTCGTCACACAACGGGTGCCCCGGCGTCAAAGCAGAGCGCATGTCAACCTTGGACGGCGTCGCACCGGTGCCGATGCGTCGCAACCGCATCGTGACGGGCCGCTCCGTCACGATGAATGCCGACTCGCGACTCTCGAGGTCCAACAACAACGAGACCAATCGCATGTTACTGCCTAATACATCCTAATACTGCCTATATCTATTTCAGTCTGCCACATGCGTCGATCTAGTTGGAGGAGGTGCTGCTGAGATCGGTGCAGAGGAGGTCATGGCTGGCATCGTGAAGTGCACCCACGGTGCTTTCGGAGCTGGTTGAGCGATCAATTGCTGTGGGAATGGCAGATTTTGAGCACCACAATGCACCCCCAGTTGCTCAAAGAGCAGTTCAGTAGACACCCAATCTTCATTTCATATTTATACAACTATTACTTGGATGTTAATTTTGTTGGATTGAAGGGGCGAACCTTCCAAGAACAATGTTGTGTCGTGTTATGTTGCACTCTTCTGCTACAGAAGGGCGTTCATGTCTCGTGGCGACGCTTAGGTAAGCGAAGGATCGTGACCATCATCAGTTGAAGTTGTCGTCCAAGGTCCCACTTTCCTCCTAAAATGTGCCTCCTTATATCAAAACAGGGGGAGTATATATGGTACCCCTGATATCAAAACAGTATCCCCGTTATATCAACATGTTCCACCTCCTTATATCAAAACAATTCAAAACAGTACTGGTATTGCGACCTGTCGTATCTGCACCTCAGCGTTCGCAACGGCGAACGCTGAAACGTCGCGCCGTTAAGGCCTGCGCAAGTCGTCGGCCCAGAAGGTCCCCCTTCCTTGATCATGTAGGTTTAAAATGTCTCATTTTGGGGTGACTAGCTTGTTAGGGCTTGTTAGCTTGTTTTTGCAGCTCTTTCCTGCTTGTTAGGGTAGGGAGAGAGAGAGAGAGAGCGAGAGAGAAAGAAAAGATGGTATCCCCCAAAGGCTGATGAGTGATGTCCAGTTTTCCCCACGCCGAGTCCGCTTTTTCCGCTGCGAGTTTGTGGGGGACAAGTCCTCCAGGACCAGCGGCCAATGTAGCCGGCCTCTTCGCTGCCGGCCTCTTCCCATTTGGGAAGGGACGGCTGTTCGAGGCTTCAAGATTCCGGGTGCCAGCCTTACCAAGTGTAAGGCGTGCTGTTCGAGTTCGAAGCCACCAATTCTTGGGGATTTCATCAGGTTCTACGAGAGCTATGACACTCGCCCAAAGCCCACCAATGCACCAGCTGCAGATCAGCAGGATCTCAGAAATGCATCCAACAAATGTCACTTGGTGTCACTTGGCCCTTCTGTTAGGTGATTTTTGCACATGTCCCAGGGCTTTCATGTCCAAGCTGCATCAATTCTTAATTTTCTGAGCACTTGTACATCAGAAGGTCACATTCGTTTCAACTGTGCAAATGGCCTCACGGATTCGTACGTATTTGCCTCACGGATTTGTATGTATTTGCCTCACGAATTCGTATTATGGTCTGTTTGAGGTGTGGTAACTGAGCCTTGAAACAAGCTTTCTGCGCTCAATATGGCTCGGATTACCTAGATAATATCCCATGTCCACACCACCGCAAAAGATTAATAATTGATTAAGATTACAAACAGTATATTTGAAAAATATTAGCTTCACTATTGTTTCTATATATCCCCAGGGTCACCAGGATCTCGGGTCGAATCTTCACACATCGATGAAGGATTTGAAGCGAGGTGTGCAACCATGACCGATCCGTGCAGCAGTGACGCACTGTCGTGGACTGCTAATGGGCGTGTCGTGGCCCGCCTTCGTCGTCTCAGCTCTGCGTGTAGCTCTGTCTGCCCTCTGACCATGTCAAAATGACCATATCCATCCATATCCGATCATGAATGGTTTAACGTTGTCGTAAAGACTGCGTGCAAGCACTCACCGAGTTACACAATGCTGCAACCAGTTGGCGCTCCTTCAACGGCTCAACTCCATACGATCGAAAAGGCCGGCTTGATACAAACTATATATATATAAACTGGGTTGGCATTTCACTGGTGCCGAATATATATATATATATATGACTTAAATAAACATATATATATATATACACTATAATTTCAACAGTTTCATATCATGTCTCGACATGTTCCAATACATTGTTCACTAGTCTCCAACAATGTGCTTGTGTAAGGATCTAATAGCACCGTAAATTGATTCGCATCATTCAAAGTGAGCCTCTGTTGGCTATTTTGTGCTCAGGTCATCGATAGACATCAAAGAAGTCGAAGGCTGGAGTTCTATCTGGTGGAAAATGCAAAGAAAAATTGTATAATCAGGGCGGCCAGGTTCAACAGCGGCTCAGGGATGCTTGGCTTGCTTTGCAGCCGGCATCGCCAACCTGTAGCCTGGACAGGTTGAATCTGAATGTGCGGGCAGCATTTGGTATGTTTTATGAAGACCTGCAGCACCTACATGAAGCCTGGAATATGTTTGGTCATCCCGAGTGTCCCAAACCATTAAGCTACAGCCAAAGAGCGGGGCTCAAGGCAACTAGAGTGCCAAAGCAAACAAGCTCCAAGCAAGTGATATTCGTGACATGAATGAGGACAAGCCGGTTAGGACCAAACCCATTAGGTCCAAAGGACAGGTTACACTGACTGGCAGAATTTCAAAGGATGCATTTCACCTTCCAATGTTCAGGACCCATTCTATCTGGTTCACAGGACTTTCGCGGCCTTCGACATGGTTCCATGGGTTCTTTCATGATTCCAGTTCCGGTGGAAGCACCGGTTATACTTAGAGCACCGGCTGCACGGATATATGATGATGTAATCAAGATCCCCGACCTGAGGACTTCCAGCCGCTGAGACAAAACTAGCCTTGAGGCAAAGTGAAACCAAGCAAGATCCCAGCCTTCCAATAACTGTAAATCCTCCTTCGGACTCCATCGGGTTGATGCATCACCTGGGCAGGTTGCGCATGGCTTCACCATCTCCAAAGGGGGGTCCGCACCCGCAGGTGGACGCCAGCAGCACCCGCAGGTGGACGGCACAAAGAACAGCGACCAGGAAGCTGCGACCAGGGCATGGCACGTCGTGCCAGCTCTTAAGCTATGGTCACTTTAGTTGATCGGTCTGTTCTTCATGCTCCAGAAAACAGAAAAATTGCAGCAGTTTCTAGGTCACTACTAGGAACAAGGACGCTACTAGCAGCTGCTGGCCGTACTACTAGGAGCAAGGACGCTACTATGAACTAGAAAATGAGGATGTGAAGACAAATCTACTGTACATGGACCTACATGGCCTACATGTGAAGTTGAACACACCAGGTATTTATACTGAGGACCGGGTCACGGCGCGTTGCCACGGGCCGTCGTACCGCAGCTTGCACAGGACGGCGCCAGTCCCAGTGGCCCGGAACTCCTGAGACTGAAAAGTGGTGCGACTGAGCGGGAGCTCGGGTTCCCGAGCTCGGGCTCCCAAGAGGGAGGGGTTCCGAACTGGACCTCCATACCCCTGGGGCGAAGACACACCCTGCTTAGCTCGCGAAATGTGCACGAGAGGAAGTGATTGGGAAGACAAGGGGTCGCAACGGGGGGGAACAAGAAAACGAGGTGAAATGCCTCGACTCTTCTGATCTTCTGAAATGGGTGAACTCATGAAAATGGGCTGTTGTGGGATGGTGCCTTTATAGAAGGCTATTCGAGCTTGTAGGTTTCAAATGATTCTGGTTTACCTCCTTGACTCCTGCAAGTAGGCTTCAAGTCCATGTGTTGCTTCAAATCAACGCCATCCCGTTCAATGTCTGCGTTTCATTCAGACTGTCCGCGTCGGAATCCATGCTTCGCTGGTGGGTTTCCAGTCTATCGACGTTTGGGCGGACGAGGAGTCCTGGAGGAACACTCCTGAGGTCCTGCTACTCTTGCCCTAGGCCCTAGATGGCCCTAGGCCTAGGCAACATGTGTCGTATGCCAAAACGACACATTCGGCAGCAATCAGTGATTCATTCACCTAATGATGAACTCGTGTTCAAAACACATGCACCCCACAGGAACATGGCCCGCGTCAGGAGGGTCTGGACGACTAGCT